AAAATGTCACTTAAAAACTATTAGAGATTCAAGCCAATGAAAGAAAAGTCAACATATTGATAACAAAAGTGGGCGGGGTTGGTAGTATACCCTTTCATCATCGTCCCTAACGCTAATCAGATCGGTATCGGGAGAAATCGACTGGCAAACGGTTCTGGCAGTAACCCAATCCCTTTTATCGAATACAAAATTGTCGAAATTGGCGTCAATCGAATTGGACAGATCTCGCGATGAAGAATGACGAGATGCAAATGATGTTTGGGTAGAAAACTTGTAGCAATCGCAAGAGGCTGGTCTTCGGACCCAGTTCGTGGGGCATTCTTTATAAAATAAAGTATCACGTGATAAATATTTTTTTTTCTCCTACTGAGTGCTTACCAGAGTTTGAAATGCCCTTTCAAAATAAAAATAAATCTTCGAAGATTTTGGATCTCCGAGGATGTGAATTGGTTCGACTTATTTTTGGCACTTATTTCTGTTCAGACTAGGCTAATCAGCTTTTGAACTAGAAATACCCTAATTTGGTTTATTTCAAGTGTTTAGTGGCATTGTTATTTCTTAGTGCTGTTTTTCTACTTCAAGCTATATAGTGGGCTAAATAGGCGGCTGTTAAGTAATGAGTCGAACCAGGGTACACCCCCCTGAAGATTTTTTTAAAAAAGATTTTCTAAAACTCTGGTTTTTATACCACAAGGAAATGGCTACCTTTAATAATTTCGTGAACCTTACAACAAAGTCCTAAAATATTCTGGTTAAATTAATTTGCAAAAAGATAAATAATCTTAGGATCACATTATAAGTCAATAAGTCAATTACAAATAAAAAATTTCTAATTATAAGAGTTAAAAAAAATTTTACGTAATGTGCCGCGATTTATGTGAGAGAAATATTTTAGCGTTAACGTCATATTAAAATTTTATCTAAGACTTTCTTACAAGCTTTATGTTATATTTTTTATATTCTTGAAAAGGAGTACATTTTTTTATACTGTAATAATTACAAAAGATATAAAGGGCTATAATAAAATGGTAAGTTGAATTATACTAGTTTAAAAATCTGATTTACATAACCTTTTATATATGGCACAATTAATAATGACTAACCGGGTGGATATTTAACTTATCTTAAAATGATTCATTGAATATATATATAATATATTTACCGTAAGTTGGATGATCAGTGTTAACATCTTGAGTCAGATCTTTCACCAAAATCTTGGAATCCAAGGAATGGTAGAAAGTCCAAAGGAATATCAATGGCAAACTAAGTTTTAGCATTATATATTTTATTTAGTGAACACTTTATTTATTCAAGCATTCAAGAATTAGCTAATCTTTAAAAAAAGAAGTTGATATGGGATTTTTGAATATTATTAATGGTATTATTTTGTGAATTTTATTTATTTCAAGCAAGGCCAGTTTTTGATTCCGTATTCAAATTTTGGACATTGTGTATACATTTCATATTATAAGAAATGCAATGGATTAAAATTTAATTTTAGTTTAAATTAATAAAGTTTAATTTTATATAATATATATTTATCATCTAATTTATCTAAGTGTATTAATTCATCAGATCCTCTTTTTTTGATATTTCCTAAGTTCTGTGTCCTGTAAAAAAAAACAATTTTATGACCCAATTAATTTTAATTTTGCGGTAACAGCGGAACAAATTTCCGTAAGACCGGGTATAATGAACTATATTTGAAGGTTTTATTTTAAGATAGATGCGTTATTTAGTAGCTGACCATTAAAAATACTTTTTAGAATGAATTCGAATTTGTTTTACTATATATTTTTTTAAACAGTATTCCCCTATTATTATACTTTTATTTTTGACAAACCTATTTAACCCTGCATTCACAATTAGCGAGAATTTGGGGTTAATTAAAATATACAGCATTTTTTGTAAAATTCGAGGGGAGAATAATCAAAAATATACAGCATTTTTTGTAAAATTCGAGGGGGAGAATACAAAAATAGAGCGAATTTTGCAAAATTCGCCGCTAATTTGCGCTAACCATGAATGGAGGGGTAATGCCGAAGTGGTCAATCGTTTAAATGTGTTTAAAAATCAGCTGTTCTGGTTCGGAATATATTTTTTTCAAATGGTTGCTAAATATTATGCAAATGGGTTATGTTATGGTCCCCATTTTTCGATTTGACAAGGTTCAGAGAATTCCATATTATGGTTAGAAATGCTGATTAAAAAAACATATGTATTTTTAAAATATAAAATAATCATTTTAAAGTATAATAATTTTTAATATTCAAAGTGGAGATCTACATCTGGCTTAAATATTATTAGGCCCTCCCCAAAATTTTATCATAGCTTGAACCAAAATTATTTAACAAAAATAGGCTCTCCTCAGGCCAAAGCAAATTCGGACCCCAGGGGACAAATATTTCCATATAAAGTGATATGGGAGATGCTTGCCGTGATTCTTATATAAGGGAAACTCTAAATTCTTGACTCTTTTAGGACCCATCAGGGCAAAAAAATTTGCTGCGGCTAACGGTGACGGTCATCCAACTACTATTCATTCCGGTTTATTATATTTAAGGTTCATGGAAAAAAAACAATAGTTAAATATCATTTTTATAGATGTGGCTAACATTTGTTTCCGTAACGATTGGCTCAGACTATTTCTTCTTACCATCTTTGATGTTGAGCAATGAGATATTAAAATTAGTAATAAAAAAATAGCCATATTTTTAATTATTTTTTATATAGTAATATAAAATTTTATTAATCAATATTCTAATTTAATATTGCTAAACGGCTCAATTTAATCACATTTTAAATTAATATTTTAGCCAACACAATATTCTATTTCTATAAATAATTAAATTTTTATATATGTTAGCGTCAACGTGTTTTTTCAATTTAAAATTTTGATTTTTAACCGGTAATGTATTCCATCATGTTTAGAATAACCTATCTTATGAATTGTAGATAATTTATGAGTTGGTTTATAATTTATTTAAATATATATGGAAAAATTTAATATAAATTATATTAAATTTAAATGTTCATGGAAAAAATTGTCTGAAATTCATAGGGTATGGTATTCCAGACATGATGGCATACATTTCCGGTAAAAACAGATATTTAAATTTCAAAGAAAAAATCGCTCAAAAAATGATTTAAAGTTGAAAAAATTACATATTGAGGGAAAAAAACACAATGACGTTAACTTAAGAGATGAGAAGAGTAGAGACTTATATAATCAATTATCCGCCATAAAATTATTCTTCACTTACTTACCAAACATTAAATGCTCTTGAGACATTATCTAAAATATTATCAGTTATATTTCCGTGGTGATGATAATACATATAATATGAGTGTCTCGAAAAAAACACCTAACAACTAACTAAATTTAAAACTTTTATTATATTAAATATATATTAAAATTTAATAATAAAAAAAACAATAAAAAATAACATGTAAACTATTTGTAAAATAAAATTTATATAAAAACTATATTAAATAAAATAATAATTAAACATTTAATTAGGTATGATCAAACGGGGCTTATAGACCCATGTCAAAGGTAGAAGCCTTCTTTTGGATCACCTGTGATTAAGCGTAACCTTTGTTTGTTTTTTTTCACGTATTAATTTACTAAAATAAAGCTTCTTTTATTATCAAAATTTGCGCTAAACGAAGTGTTTAAAATTCCTAAACCCAAACTTGGATTTACAACCTTGATCCGTTGACCTGACCCGCAAAAGGGTATGAAAAGAAATTAAAAACGGGGTCAAAAAATATTTGATGTATATTTTTAAAGAAAAAACTGAACCAGGCGAATTTCTTTAAATAAATTTAAATTATATTAATTAACTAATTGAGAAAATCATATGGAAGAACAATTTAACAAACTTTTACTTACTTACTATTTTTTTTAAAAATTTTAAAGTTCCCGGCTGGGTTATATAGGAAAGAAATTCGCTCGAAAAATATTTTTTTGAAATCCGGCGTGCCGGTTTTAAATTTTTTTTTCTTTCTTTCTCAAATCCGAAAAAAAATAAAGAATATTTCTTAAATTAAATTTCTTCATTCAAAAAAAATTCTGAATTTTGTTTTTTCTTTTTTGAATAATATTCAGTTTACTTACATTTATCATTATCAAAATAATGGATTCGTGACAATGGTAGAAATATAATTATAATAAATAATATTATAAAAGTTTATATATAAAAAAAATGTTTACAAAAAAATATGAACAAAAATTTGTCATGTATAAAAAAAAAATATTTTAATAATATATAATAGTAAATATATATAAAATTTGTGATTAAAAAAAATTAAAAATGATTTTTTTTTAAAAAAAAAACTAATTTTTGGGGGAATTTGGTGTATTTATATATGTAAATTCTATAATATCATAATTGAAAAAAAAAATTTAAAATGCCTTGATTTTGAGTTATTATGTGAAAGTTGAGAATATTTAATAATGATATAATGATTCTTTTTATAAAAAAAAATAATAAAGTATTATTCGGACATTGGCAACTATAATTCTAAAATATACAATTTAAAATAGAAGCTTTTATACTAAACTATTGACAAAGTGATCCAAAAAATCGTAAGTGTTGTATGACTGCAAATAAGGCCCCTATACAATAAATGTATCTTAATAAATACATTTATACAAAGAAAGAAAGAAAAAAATTCCTGAGCTCTAGTGGGAGTTAATTCCCATTTTTGCCAGGGCTTGATGTGGACTAGGATAAGTCTAATATAAAATATTTTTATATTCAGTTTTTCAAATGATATATTAAAAAACAATTTAAATCAAACATATTTTTTTTTGGAATTTAACCCTTTAAAAAATAAATATTAAATATTGAAATTCTTTATCTGAAGAAGGGTTTAAACAAAACGATTCGAAACGATATTTTAACCCCCATAAATGGCAAAAATGTAAGTTTAACAGGTTTCCTATTGGAGTTTAAAAAGAAATATATATAATTTTAAGATATGTATATTTAAAATAAAATATCATCCTTTTTTATTAATTATAATAATACACGTATAATTTTACAAGATTAAATTTAGAACGATTTCGACAGAGGAATCATAATTGATGGGAATGTGTTGTTTAACAAACAAAAATAGAGTAAAAGGAAAAATAATATAAAGTTGAGCGTGAAATATGGAGAAAATAAGGTAAATTTTGCGCGCGATAAATCAAACATGGACGATGAAGACAAACATGGTACATAGTAGAAGGAAAATATTCGTCATGCCGGGCAAATTATTTGGAGCAGAATTGAAATTCGGGCAATAAGGACATTGAAAGGAACCGCAAACATGACATATATCCAAAACTTTCAGATTGTAGGCTTCGTACATAGTCGTGTTGAAGTGAGCTATATATTATATATTTTTTTTTAAAAAGTGTCAAGGTTGACGACATATGTTTTATAAGTCTGCGTGGCGGTTCGGACTAGAATTCCTAAAGATCAGACTAGACCTCATAAAACGGACTAATCCAGACCCATTTTAAATGGCTAATTATATAAATAATTAATCTTAAAAAATATTTAAAACTAATTATTAATTTTCAGTTTTTGACATGATTTTATCCTTATTTCTCTCATCTTTTCACTTTTCTCCCCTTTTTTTATAAAGTATTTTAAAAATATTTTCTAAACATATCGATAGTTAATAGAAATTTACTTGGATTATAATATTCGAAGACTTTGATGGTATGCCACTCTGACATGTTAGCGATAGGATACCATCTTTCGGCGCTTAAGTTAAAACAGGTGAATGAGGAGTCCAACTTATGTTTTTTTAAAAATATATATATACATATTAGTGTTGCTAAACGGCTAACTCAATATTTTAACCAGAAAAATATTGCCTAAGCCTCGAGATTTCGATAATTATATGTCTAGACCTTTGTTGCTTCTATGAGCAAAATCTTAAGGCTTGCGTTATATTTTTCTGGACAAAATATTTGGTGAGCCGTTTTTTAAAAATCGGCACGAGCCGTCAAAAGTTCTTTCGAGTGAGAATGGTAAATTAGGAAAAAAAATATTCCTTCTATTTTCTTCTTCTTCGCATTCCATGGCGGCATATTATATGTTAGCGTCACCGAGTTTTTTCCGGCAATGTGTTATTTTTTTTTTCAACTTTAAATCATTTTTTTGAGCACGTTTAAATTTTTAAAATTATAATTTTACAAAAAAAAAAAAAAAAAAATTGAGCGCGTTTTTTTTAAATTTAAAAAATCTTGATTTTACAGAAATGTATTCCGGCATGTTTTAAAATCCTATTAGGAATTGAAGATGATTTTACCGTTAAATATCGAGTCATTTTTAATTTAGTGAAAAAATTTCCTCGAACAAATATCGCAGATAGAAATCCTGTAATCCCTATCTTCTCTTCTCTTCTCTTTTCTTCTCTCATATAATTTTCTATCTTATGTTTATCATTCTTTTCAAAATACCTATAATAGGAAATTGTAGATGATTTTTTACCGTTAAATTTCGAGTCATTTTTAAATTTGTGCGAAAAATCTATGGAGAAAACTAATATAAAATTATATTCAGTTCAAAAGTTCTTGGCAAGATTGTCCGAAATTTCATAGGGTAGGAATTCCAAACATAATAGAATACATTTCTGGTAAAATCAGATTTGTAAAATTTGAAAAAAAGGCGCTCAAAAAATGTTTTAAAGTTGAAATAATAACACATTGCCGCAAAAAATACAATGACACTAACACATATATATAAATATCCACATTAATTTTTTTTCTACCAAATAACAATAATTATAATATAAATTTTCAGGCGCGAAAAACGTTCATTATTAGTTGGAAACCATTTACAAAATATTGAATTTAAGTTCAACTCTATTTTTTTTTAAAAAAAAAAACTATATACATTTTAAATCATTTATAAGTAGTCATAATTTATCATTTATAATATGTTAGCGTCAACGTGTTTTTTTTCCGGCCAAGTGTTATTTTATCAACTTTAAATCATTTTGTGAGCGCGTTTTTTTAAACATTTAAAAATCTGATTTTACCGGAAATGTATGATGCCATGTTTGGGAATACCCCTATCCTATGAATTTTAGACAATTTTTCCATGAACTCTTTCACAAACTTTATATAAATTATATTTTCCCATATATTTTTTTATATATAAATTATATATGATTCAAGGGTTAACAGAGAAATTGTCTACAATTCGTAAAATAGGTATTCTAAACATGATGGAATATACTTGAAGTAAAATCAGATTTTTAAATTTTAAAAAAAAAACGTGTTCAAAAAATGATTTAAAAGTGGTAAAAATAACACATAGCCGCTAACATATACTGTTTTAATCATTAGTTTACTTATACTACACAATTTGTTATAATTATTATTTATATTTTCTCTTCTCTTCTCTTCTCTTCTCTTCTCTTCTCTTCTCTTCTCTTCTCTTCTCTTCTCTTCTCTTCTCTTCTCTTAAAGAAAGACATGACAAGACAAGAATTAATCCTATATGACATGTTTACTATTTTAAATTTAAATTTACCAATAGGTTCAAAAATAAAAAAATAAAAGTTTTTTAAAAGCTATAAAATTATTATAGATGATTAAATATAGATTAAAATAAGATTGGATGGGAGGGGGGGGGGTCAATCAACGGAACATTAACATTCATTTTATTTTTTAAATTGCTATGCCTCCTGTAAGGGGTAAGGAGAGGTGGCCAACATTTAAAATAAACATTGTCTATAACAAGAATATAAAAAAAATCGCCAGCAGGCACCTGAAAAAGGATATTGTTTAAATTGTATATATATATTTCTCACGTGATTGAAATAAAATACGGCTCTCTCGATGTCGGGCAAAAATTCGGCCTTTTCCAGCTGTTTATCCAAATTGAAACTGGTCATCCTGAAATTACCGGCCCGAGCCGAGTTCACGTAATTATCCAGATCCGTTTGATGGACTATATACCCGGACGGGATATCTATCTCGATGACTGACATTCCACTTTTAGGACGTTCGGATAGCAAGGTCCATCTTTATTTAATTTTTTGGCGCGCGCAGTAGAAAAAAATATTTAAAAAAATGATTTTTCTTAACTCGAATAAATCGTTATTGGAATATTAAATTGGAGTTGTATTTTTTCAAAGAGCAGGCCCAAAGCCGACTTTTCGCAAGCAACCGTGTATAAAAATCAGTGATCTACAAGCCAGGCGCGGAACGGCTAACCCGACTCGGTCAGGAATAAGTGGAATATGGGTCGGTCTTAAAAAATCCAGCCCGGGCCATTCGACAGATTAATTTATAAAATTAATTAGTTGGTAAATCTTATAAAATGGTGCGTTTACTCATTCATTTTACTGCTAATATTTTCCCATTCATGATTAGAGATAAAAAAAAATGTGGGCTGAGCCAACCTTGAACAAATGTGGTAGTCCAGTATGCTAGAATTGAAACCTCTGGATGTCATCAAGTGAGTGAGTTGAAAGGAATCAACGGGAGGGGTCCTCTGGTATTCTCTCCAATCTATATTTTTGCTGACCCGCAACTGGAATAGGGCAAGACCTCTACCGGTAGCCGTTACTTTCAAGCTCCCCCATACCTAAATTATATATTATTAAAATATGTATCTGTATATACAACTTTATCTCGTAAAAGTATCTATCCAAATGGTTAATTGCTCTATTTTTAACCGTTTTAGGCGGCTATATAAAAAAACGTTAAAAATATTTTTAGTCGAAAACTATCACTTTTAGATCTAGGGTTTTTTTTTAAAAATAGAATTCTACTTTGAATAAAATATAAATTAATTAAATGGCGTCTCGATTCTTAGAAGATTTTACTCTACACGCGTCTGTATATTGAGGCGGAATTTCGCCTAAATTTTTAGAGATTACCCACCATACTTACATTTAGAAATGAACTCAACAAGTTTGCAAATATGTTTCATAAGAAAAATATGCGCATATATATCTTAGCTATAATCAAATATTTAACAATTATGATCTATATACAACCTTATATTATACTTACATTGGGTATAGCGACTCTCTGAAAAGTAGCTAAGTTAAAGCTGCCCACTGCTAGGGTCAAATTAAAATTGGTATCTGAAGTCGCTTGCACTTCTATCCTTATATCAGTGGCGGGTCGCGTCAGCTCACTCTCGGAATATTTGGTAAGGGCTTGCATGGCAACTATGGTATCCTTGGGGTATATTAAATTCATTATTATTTTTTAATGAGATAGGGTTTCTTTCTTTCTTTCAATTTTCATATTTTATATATATATAATTATTGTTACCCTGGTGGAATCAAAACCAGCCATATGATTTCTTTGCTGATTTAACCATTTGATGATGGGCAAAATGTAAGTGTCCAACAATGGAGATCTAAAGTATATATATCGCGGAAAAATAAAGAAAACGTTTATATTTATAATAAAAACATTGGTAAAGTGACCCTAATGTTTCGATAACTATTAACTAGTCGACTAAATTGAATCGATTAACAACACTAATAATGAACAAAAAAATACATTTCTTAAAAAATTAAAAAAATGCTGAAAAATTATATTTAAACTAAAAAAAAATAAAACTTAAGAATAAAAAATACATGGATGATTTCACAAAAATTTAATTTACAAATCTAAATATAAATCGTTACTAATAGTGCGCACAAATTGAGCGTTTACGTTTCGCCGTTATTTTTTAATAAATAAAAACGTAACGCAACCCTTGTTTAAATTGAGGTTGCGTTTTTATTAATTATACGTCGATTTCAAAATTTTAAATAAGTTCAAAAAAAAAAAGGATTTGTCTTTGAAAATTATATTATCGTCTATTTTTTTTTATATATCTTTAAATTTCTAAAATATTCCATTTTAAGATTAGTAAGTTATTTATATCACATTTCATATAATATTACAAAGCGAAGAATAAAAAAAGAGGTAACGCAACCCATGTTTAAATTGAGGTTGCGTTTTTATTAATATAAGTCGATTTCAAAATTTTAAATAAGTTCTAAAAAAAGAATTTGTCTTTGAAAATTATATTATCGTCTGTTTTTTTTATATATATCTTTTAAATTTCTAAAATATTCCATTTTAAGATTAGTAAGTTATTTATATCACATTTCATATAATATTACCAGAGTTGTTAAAAGATACTTTTTAAATGGATCTAGATACAGATATTTTAATCAAAAATCTATCTAGATACAGATACAGAGACCACATTTATATATCTAGATACAGGATCTAGATACAAGTATCTAGATCCTTTAACAACTCTGAATATTACAAAGCGAAGAATAAAAAAAAAGTAATGATAAAAGCAAACCTATTAGCGATTGTTTTAAATGGTCGCTAACGCCAAACGATAATTTTAATAAATTTGCACGAGGCCATTTGAAATGTATTATTGCGCTTGCAACGCACCTTTCGAAAAGCTCAATTTGTGCGCAACTCTTTTTTACCCCCGCTAAAACCGGTACCAAGCCTAAGCCCAAATATATTTAGGAGGCTCAAGAGATCGAACCTTATAAAACATACTCAGAGTAATATCTGTCTAATTGGGCACCTTATGACTCAGGTTTTTTTTTTATCCAACTTAGACAGTTGCTTAATTTAAGAAAGGACGAATAGTAGTTAATAGGAATTCGATTGGGAGACTCAAAATTTTCGAGCTGCCCAAATTATCGAGAGCCCAACTTGGACGAGTGTTACTGTACCTCATTATATTCGATCGATGATTTGAATCGAAATCGGGTTCGGTCAGTTTAAACTCGACTAGACTGGATTGTTTATTTGTTCAAATTTGTGACCTCTACCAAACCGGGCGGCGATTTGTGACCGGGCCAAAATCTTTGGGTTAATAATGTTTTATTTTTATAATAAATATAAAAAAAATGGTAAACCGATTAAGAAGAATAGCTAATAGGGCGTAAGACGTGGTTTCGACGCAAATCGCTTCGTCCCTAGTGTATTCCCTGGGACCGTAGTGAGGTTGATTGTTTTGCAGGCGGTGAGGCAAGTGGGGAGACTCGTAAGGGCACCAATATTTCAATCCGTCGTCTAAATATATGTATAGTATAGTTTTATGTTATCGGCAAAAAGGAAGGATGGAAGGAATAAAGATAGAAAGGGTTTAGATAGATAATGGTTTTCATATGAAATAAAAAGAAGATAAAAAGATAAAAGGCAAAGAAGAAGATAAAAAAGAATGTGAAGAAATTTGGAGCTGACCTCTCTCCCTATGCCTGGCTATCAAATGTTTTAACGCCTCTCCTTTCCTAACGTGGTCCCCTAGTGATAAGGCGTAGGTCACGATGGCCAAAGTATAAGTATCGTTTTGATAGGCGTCGTCTTTTTATTTTGTTGGTTCGAAATCGCGTGAGCGAAATAAAATTATATTTTAAAAAAAACTTCTTAAGGCTTGGTTTCGGTTCCATTTCATTCACGCCTACGTATAAAACGCTCTCAAAATGTTTTAAAAAAATGTGGGCGATAAATTTATCGCTCTTAACATTTGCAAGCGTTTTAAAAGCAGCATTAAGGGGGTGGAACCAGGACAAGGCCATATTTTCAAAAAAATAAATAAGTATTTACTAATTTATTTATATTTAAAATTCATTTTCATTTGCTAAAAACTTTAGGGGAAAAAAAACTTACTACTATTTCCGGTTACACCAAGGAAAATTATTATCTCAGACAGAAATATCAATATCGAAATATGCACATACTACTTACCAATCTACGGATTGTGCGCTGAATTTTATAAAAGCTACATAAAATATATTGCGATTATTATTACACCCAAATCCTCCAAATATTTCTCCTTCAGAAGAGCGCGTATTCGCGTCAGCTCTCTTCCCTAAAATGGCGATTGCCAGGGCCTCTAAAAGTCTCATTTTGAGCTCAGCGGACCGGGCTCCCACGTGACCGGTCGTGTCATCGCACTCTAATAGGGCCAGAAGAACGTGACTCCGATCCAACATGGATAAAGATCCGAGATGACGCGATTCGGAGTTCTTGAATTCGAGGAAATCGGAAAATGTCGTGACGATTCGTTGCAGGGGAAGCTCCAACAGCTGTTTGGGTATGTAGAGCAACGTTTCGTCCCATTCGGTCAAGCGAGACGCCTCGTGGAGAACCCGGAGAGTTTGAGCTGTTAGCCTTTTACCCCAGGAGCAAACATAAATATTAAATGAGAAAAAAGGGGATCAAAAATTAAAGATTAAAAAATGATATTTATTTTATTCTTTATTTGTTTTTCTTCTTTTTTAAAAAATTATTTACCTACCTCTTTCCCTTCGCTTCCTTCCAATGTATTCAATATACGCTATAAAGAAAGAAAGAAAGAAAGAAAGAAGGAAAGAAAGAAGGAAAGAAAGAAGGAAAGAAAGAAAGAAAGAAAGAAAGAAAGAAAGAAAGAAAGAAAGAAAGAAAGAAAGAAAGAAAGAAAGAAAGAAAGAAAGAAAGAAAGAAAGAAAGAAAGAAAGAAAGAAAGAAAGAAAGAAAGAAAGAAAGAAAAAAATTAATTAAGTTTATTAATATAATATCTTACAAGAGATCGGTTTCGCAATCGTTTCCCTGAAACAAACACAATCCCCCGTCATTTTTCATGTGACTCATCAATCGTTGATAATCTATAATATACGTTTTTTTTAAAGAGAGCATATAAATATTTTAAAAATTCTGTAGAAATAATTGTTCTAATATGGGAACATCACGATAAAACAATTTTTTAATTAAGCTTCATGTATTCAAATACATATTTTTTTATATGCGAGACAATTTCATTTAAAAAATTTCTTAGATAATACCTATTTTGAAAAAATGGCCATTACAAAAGAATTCCAAGCAATCGCATCTTTTTTGAAAAGGAAACATGCTATATGAAATACTTCGTACAAAATATTAATTTCTTATCTGACTTTAGATGGAAAAAAAACGAATATAATGCTGGCTGTGTTTCCGGTTTCGACTTAACTGCTGTTTAGCCCCGATTAAACAGTTTTTCAAGCTAGAAGATGATTACAATCACGAAATAATTTTTTTTGTACATAAAAACAAAGATTTTTATATATTATTAGAACTTTGGGTAAAATTTCATAAAAAATCTTTATAAGAACCGTAACAAAAAAAATGGATTGTTCCATCTACTAAAATAAAATTATAATAAACTTGGTAATAATTATTTTTATTTAAAAAAAATCGATAGTTAAAAAGTTAATTTTAAAAATAAATATCTCATTTGGAATGAACTCACATATGTTCATGTATTTGGCTCCCTGGCTGAGAACTACTTTGTTTAATTGGTTAGTTTTTTGCAAGTAACGAAGCGTGTAAAAATTCGCGGCGAAATTGAACAAAACTTGTTCGCCGCACCAGTACGGCATGTCCAGCATATTCAGGGCGTTGAACGGCATTTTATAAAAAACGGGGCCCGTAACATCCCCTATATAAAAAAAAAATTTGTGTGATATATAGAAATATTTTTTTCTTCTTCATGTGCCCAACATTTTTATAACATTAAATCACGATATTAAATGAGACTGTGGAGCGTCAATAAGTGTCAATCAATTATAAAATTAGATAAAATAAACCGGAAATATAGACAGAATTTTTATTTCTTTTCCTTTTTTTTAAATATAATTTTCTTCCTTTATCAAAATTCTATTTTATTCTATTTATATTAATTTTATTTTTTTCTACCTACTAATCCAATTTCGGCCCTGGGACTTCCAAATATATAATTCCTTTGCCTTCTCAGCGGAATTACTGGCGTTTCCGTCACGTTTATGTACAAGTTGAAAGTTTGGAGGGCCTTGTTTGTGAGATCGATCAGGTAAGGCGTATGGTAGACCTGCTTAACGCCGCCTATCTCCACGAATATAAACTTTTCGAACTTATCCTCGGCGATTTGAGTCAGGGCGGTTAAACTTATGGAGGTGCCTGAAACCGTAGCACATAAGGCAAATTAGCATCGATTAAGAGATTTATAATAACTTACTTTTGGCGTTAATTTTGCCGCAGGCCTCCGATGTGTGAGTAAACACGATGGGAATGTAGACGAGTTGGGTCTGTCCGGGCTCGACCCAACTGAGAACTTGCCTTTCCCCTTTTTGGGTCTCGGGAGAGTAGGAGTGAACTATACCTAAATATTGAGTTTTATACATCAAAAAATAATAATTATATTACTGGAAAAATTAATCATATAAACCCCCACCATACCCTGATATTTTTCAGTTTTTCCAAATTGTAATTTGCAGTTTTTAATAAAACTATATTTTATGTGCCTAGAACAAAATCGGTTATCGCATTTTATCCGTGACAGAACATTCGCGTTTGCCTCTTCCAGCATAGATATATTTAACGAATCATTGACCACCGCCTTTCGGACTCATTTAATGGGCTATTCATGATCCTATTTCTATTTTTACTCTGACAACGTTATTTTAATGATATCGATTGGGAGAATAAACGACAGCAGACACGCCAAAAGAATAGATTATCATAATGAATAGAAACATTTTTTATTTACTCCCCTATGGATATCATAAGACGTTTTTAAGTTAAATGTAAACATTGGATGTGAGTTATCCCTTCACGTGGCCCGGAAGTATTTACAAACAGACCCCAATGACGATATCCTAATTAAGACTTTTCGAACGCCTTTAACTCTCTAAGGCGTATTGAGTTTCTAAATCCTATCCTCACCCTCTACCCATTCGCAATTTATCTTCGATTCCTATGCTAGCGCACCTCAAATTTGAAGATAAGAGGTGAAATTTTGTGTTTTCATAATACCTATAGTGTTGTTAAAAGGCTCGATTTGTGTCGATTTTTAAAAACGGTTAACTCAATATTTAATCCAGAATAATATCACGCAAGCCTGAAGATACTGCTCTTAGATGGCATGGCACCACAAAAGTCTAGACATCTATTAACGAAATCTCGAGGCTTAGTGGCCAAAATATTGAGCTAGCCGTTTTTAAAAATTCGTCTGAAAACGAGTCGTTTAACAACACTAATATTATGTATCAAAATTTTTTTTAAAAAATAAACCTTCTTCCAAATCCGTTATAATGATAGATTCGTGACAAGGCGACATCTCCAAGCTGACCAACACTTCGATTTCCTTGTCGAAATAATTAAATAGGGCGACTCTTATCCCCAGCTTTATGAATAAAAAAAAGAAATTAAATATGTCTTTAGTTTTTATATTTATACAAATGTTTCGTTTCATAATCAATGGCATATACAAATAAGGTTGGAGAGGATAAATGGGGGTAAACGCCTCCCTTATTTAAAAGGGTGTGAGTGAGGGGGTCGAATAATTGTTTTTGTCTAAAAAGCAAGACCAAGTCAGAGTGAATGCTTGTCAATGACTGATCGATTCTAGGTGAATAGGGACCGGTCCGTTTCTGATTCCAATTTTTAAAAATGATAAAAAAATAAATTTATGCCATTCTATAAAAAAAAAAAAATTAGCAACTTGTTCCCCTTGTTTGATCCTGTCAGGAACGTCGACCACGAAATAGAAAGGGAGTGTGCTATCGTAGAGTTTAACGTTGGGCAGCAGTCCCAAACCCGTCATCTTGCTGAGACTGAACGCGTTAACCGCCCATAACGCGGGTCTCTTCTTCACTTTAGCGCTTTAAATCGGCAAAATATTTTTTATATGCCAGTTATTTTTATAAATGTTTTTAAAAGCTGAAGATATTAGGCAAATTTACAGTCGTATGCATTCATAAAAAAAAAATTATTATGGGGGGGGGGGGGGGTAAAAATAATTAGGGGCTCGGGCCAAAAAGCCAGATAAAAAATTTCGTGGGCCACATACGGCGTTGTCTCTCTGTCATATACCATATAATCTCGTGGAGGAAAAATTTACAGCTGAAAGGCCTGATAGCTAGGGAGTCATATTTCAATATGCACGAAGGAAGGAAGGAAGGAAGGAAGGAAGGAAGGAAGGAAGGAAGGAAGGAAGGAAGGAAGGAAGGAAGGAAGGAAGGAAGAAAAAGATTTTAGCCAAAATAGTATTAAGGAAACTTTGAGATTTTGTTAATAGGTAGCCAATATTGAATAAAATCTCCAGGCTTCCTAATATATTTTCATGTGTACACAATTCATGTATACATTATTTCAAATTCACGAGGTAGAGAAGGTACCCTCTCTACCCATACTAGAATAAAGATTTTGATGTAAAAAAAAAATTTGGACTATCAAAATGCTTACAGTTTCATGAAAAAAAAAATATTGTAAAGAGACTTGGATCAATGAAGCCCAACCCTAACTTTTTAAAAAAGGGGGGGGGGGGTAAAATCAAGAATTCAACGGGGGGGGGGGTTAAATCCGGAATTTAATGACGGAGGGGGGGTTAAATCCGGAATTCAATGACGGAGGGGGTTAAATCAACCAAAAAAAATATATTTACCTTAACCTCTAGATTTCACATATTAGATAGGCAGAAAAAAAGTTGTAAAATACTTTAATTCATTTTTTATTTTTTTTTTAAAAAAGGGGACTAAATTATGAACTCATATATCACAAAGAATAATAAAATAAAATTCATTTTTTTCTTCCGGTTACTTTATTTGAATAGTAGCTGGTATAATATGTTATCAAAATGTAATAGCATATAATTAATTTAAGCTGAAAAATATAAAAATAGAGTTTAAGGGATGAGGGATAGGAATGAGAAGGGAAGAGAGAAGACATAGTCATGGAAGGCAGGGATCCTTACCGAAACGAATATCGGTTCGGTTCGGATAAAAATAACGGTTCAAAGTTTAGGTTCGGTTCATAAATAATTAAAATATCGGTTCGGTTCGAACCTTTAAAAACCGGTTTGAACACTTTTGTATTTAAACCTACATTCGAATTATGTATAGGGAAAATATTATTTATTTTATCATTAATTTAAAAAAACACATATATAAAACCTTCATTTAATTTAAATATAAAAATATATATCAATGATTAATTTCACTATGAAAAATATTTTCCTTTTTTTTATTTAAATTTATTTTATCATTAATTTAAAAAAATAACATATATAAAACCTTCATTTAATTTAAATATAAAAATATATATCAATGATTAATTTCAATATGAAAAATATTTTCCTTTTTTTTATTTAAATTTTTTTTTATTAAGCCGCACAATTAATATATTTTCAAAATTCGTCTCACTCAAATTACAAAAATGTTGCAAATTGACAATATACTAATGTTTATAAAAATTATGACCGACATTTATCAATCAAATGTGATTGATAATAATCTTTAAAATAATTCGAATATAATTGAAATCTAATAATAACTTACATATTATTTTATAAGCATAAAATCGTGAGACTCGAACCGGTTCAGAGGCATTTTACGGTTCGGTTTAGGTTCGGCTGAAATTTTATTAGCGATTTAAGTTCGGTTCATGTTCGATAAAAAATATCGGTTTTTAGCGGTTTAACGGTTCGGTTCGGTTTGGATCCCTGATGGAAGGTTATTAGATGGAAGAGATAAAACATAGATAGTTAGAGCGAATAATGGCGGTAGCAAGTCTTTGTCGTTAGAAGTGGGGTTCCTTAGGCTGATTGGTTTTTTCGCGAATCCGTTTGCCTAATCTTTTAAAAAAAACGTTGAGCTTTGCTACCGAAGGTGGTGATAATGGAACAGGCGATGGGTATGAATAAGAAAGAAAGGTCTATGGAACTGTACTTGATGATTTTTCAGGATTCTGCGAGGGCGAGGCCATCGACGTTGCAGTTAGATGGTCCATTTGGGTCAATGCAGGTGAAATCCCAAACCAGGAGCTGACCCCTTGACCAAGGAATCAAGAACATTCCATCAGGACGTTTTCCATTGGTTCTAAAAATTCCGCTTGGTTCAAGTCTCGGTGGAATGCCTGCGGATTTGAGGGCACGTAATATGATATTATTACATTTGGTGTGCCGTGGAAAACGGTCTCGACAAAAGCGACAATGAAGGAAATGTCTACCCTTGTGATCGACGCTGGTTTCGCAATGTTTACATTGGTACGGTAGAACAATTTCACACCGAGCCTTCACGACGACGATCTCACAGTTTTTCAAGTACCAAGGATCCGGTTACGAGTCATACCCTCTAACAACCTTGGTTTGTGCTTTCCGCTGACGAGCTAAGATTTGCTCTTGGACTACGGCTTAATTGCGAAATTGTTCTATCGTACCAATGCAAACATTGCGAAACCAGTGTCGATAGCAAGGGTAGACATTATTTCCATTGTCGCTTAGGCCGTTTTTCACGGCACACCAAATGCAACGACATCATACTGAGCGCCCTCAAATCAGCAGGCATTCCATCTATACTTGAACCAACCGGAATTTTTAGAACCGATGGAAAAAGTTCTGATGGAATGTCCTTGATTCCTTGGTTAAGGGGTCAGCTCCTGGTTTGGGACTACACCTGCATTGACCCAAATGCACTCTAATAATAACTTCGATGCCGCTCGCAGAATCTCGAAAAACCATAAAGTACAGTTCCTTAGACCCTTCTTTCTTATTCATACCCATCGCCTGCTCCATTCTTACCACCTTCGGTAGCAAAGCTCAACGTTTTTTTTTAAAGAATTAGGCAAACGGATTTGTGAATCAGCCTAAGGAATCCCCCTTCTTACGACAAAGACTTGCTATAGCCATTATTAGCTCTAACTATCTAAGTTTTATCACTTACATCGAATAACCTTCTATGTCTATGCCTTCTCTCTTCCCTTCTCATTCCTAGCTTCCATCCTTTTCCGTAAACTCTATTTTTTCAGCTTAAATTAATTATATGCTATTACATTTTGATAACATAATATATCAGCTACTATTCAAATAAAGTAACCTATGATAGGGAAGAAAAAAAATTTAACCGAAATTTTTTATATTTATTTTATTTTTATTTTTTTTAGAAAAAAAGAGTTTTTTGCTTTGATCATATCGGCTAATTAAAATTTCTTTGAAAAAAAAATAATTTTTTTTTGTATTTACAAATGATTTAATAAAAATAAAGTTTACGTAAAAATGTAATATCCATCCGTGCCGATGTTGAAATCTCTCCAGAGCCAAGAGGAATCGTAAATCTCGTTGAATCGATGAAAATTTTTGGGCGATAGTGCTTCGTCTTATAAAATACATATATATTATTCTCTTCCTTATTTATTTCAATTTTTTTCCTTTCTTTCTTTATCTTTATTTATTTATTCTTTTTTTTTGTTTCTCTTTCAAAGTTTCCTAACCCTTTTAACTGATTCTTTCACGAACAAAATTTTTAAAAAAAAAATGAATATCTACAAAAAGAAGAGAAGAAAGCTCTGCGATAATTTATACTAGACAATCAGCACTGTCGTAGAATATCAATAATTATATTTTCGTATACAAATGTATTATCCTATTAGATGTCAATCAAAGACCGTAAAGTTTTGATTGGACATAATAATATTATATTTGGAGAAAAAAAAATAAAGATAAGAATAATATTTATAATTAACGCAATGTTCGTAATCTTATATATAAATGAATGGGCCACAAAAAACCCCATAATCCAAAAATGTCTACGCGATACATAATGCATATATTTTAATGTAATGTACAAAAATATATTGGCCTGCAATTTATATTTTTCGCAATTTTACTCCATAGCAAGGTTTGAAATTGCTCTATTTCTTAGAAAAATTCTGGAAGATTTTTAGCCGGTAAAAAAAACAACTAAGCCTAATATTTAAATGACAACTATATCATCAACTTAGGTATTAAAAAAAATTATTAAATTAATCGCTTCTCAATGATTTTCTTCGGCAAACGCCTATAAATATGAGCCTTATTAAGCCATTAGCTTAGCACTATAGCAAACAAAGGCACACTATTAATTTAGTTTATAAATTCAAATTTTGTAAAGTAAAACTCAATATTAAATGACTTTATACATTGTAATTTCATGTTCCGCAGTTATTAAATGAATGTTCGATATAATTTAATTAATTTATGAAATAGAAATCAGAAACTCTTATTTTAAAACATTATAAACACCCCTCCACTTAATCAAAAATTCTGGTAATGTTATTGGCCATTTATTAATCATATGTATTTGTAATTCTTTTTATTTTAGTCGGACGTACTTCTGAGGGTATTTTCAATTGGCAGAGTAATAAAAATGGCAGGATTATATAAAATAATGCATTTAAAGAAGATAACAAAGTTGTTACAGATGCTTTTAAAGTGTATCGAAACCAGATATAAATTCTATACGGATCCATCGGTACAGATACATTTCTAAAAATGTATTCGATGTAACATATAAAATTATAGATACATTTCCGATATACTATTTGGGAATAATTTGTCAATAATTAAGGTAAAAAACTTGTTAAAGATACATTATAGATATAAATTCTGCACTGGTCCATCGATACAGATACAAATAAATTTCCCCAACAGGATATAAAGTAGTCGATACTTTTTGAATCTCGAAATATTTATGGCTTGAACCCTGTGGTCTCTCAACTGAGAATAGTATACGGCCAGATGGGCTGACCTTAATACCTTGGAGTAATGGAACTCCATTAGCATGGGATTATTCTTGCATCGACCGATTTGCTCTAACTGTATAAAATAAAATTGGTATAATAAATTGAATGTTGGGTGGGAGGAGGTAAAAAAAGGGAGCCGTGGATGACAATGCAGTTAGATCTGCATATAACAATAGATACGCGCTGTCTAAGATAGAAGCCTTTCTGTGGGTCACCAGTGATGGCACGAATTTTTTTACCAAGGGATTTGAAGAAGGTTAGGGCATGATTGCCAAAAAAACCGGTTGTGTCGGATACGATTGGCATGAGATTGCAATTGGTTAGGGAAATGTATTTATTAATTTTAGAGTTTTCCGCTCGCACGAATGAGTTGTTACTAAAAGAAGGAGCAAATCGGTCGATGCAAGTATAATCCCATGCTAATGGAGTTCCATTACTCCAAGGTATTAAGGTCAGCCCATCTGGCCGTGTATTATTCTCAGTTGAGAGGCCACAGGGTTCAAGGGTTACGGGAATTTGAGCTGAGCGTAGAGCACGGAGAATGGTATCATTAAATGCACTGTGTCGAGAATGTCTACCTTTAGAGAATCGACAATGAAGAGGATGATGTCCGAAACAATCAACGGGTTGGGAACATAATGTACATGCGGAGTTAGCCAGTACTTTACAACCAAGACGGAGACCTATTGCTATGCGTAATTTCGTTTGTTAAAAGGAGTCCTAAGTTTGAGCTGGGCAAAGCTTCTAACCATTCATAACCCGATAGGGAAGGCAAAAGTTGTGTAACTTGCAGTTGTGGGAGAGAGATGATCAACAGTTAAGAATTCATAAACTGAAATGGGAGATAATAAATGTGAAAGAATTGATGGGGATCCCTTAGAAGCAGCACTCGATATTAGATATTCAACGGAATGGCGTATTAAGGGAAGATCCCAGTCATGTTGCTTTCGTGATGTGGGGATTGGAGCGGAGAGGAAATTCTCTTTCCAGATTGTAAGGGCGTGGGGAAGGTGGGGGTCTGTGGTGTTATTGTTAAGTGATAGAATAATTAAGCGGCAGCTTGATTCTGAGGCTAAAAAGGCAGCAAGGCTGAGTGACGCGGGTGATCTTAGGCCAAGACCCCCAAATTTCGAAGGTAAAGAGGCCTGCAGGGCTGAATTTATATTGAGGATGCCTTCTAAAGAGTCTTTGATTGTTGATTCTATTTGGGTGAGAATTTCCGGGAATAGGAAAAGTGGGGCAGAGCGGAAGGCATGTTGGATTTTTGGGATAAATAAAAGGTTTCTGAGAAGGAAGGACTTGGTGCTCTACGCTCAGCTCAAATTCCCGTAACCCTTGAACCCTGTGGCCTCTCAACTGAGAATAGTATACGGCCAGGTGCGCTGACCTTAATACCTTGGAGTAATTGAACTCCATTAGCATGGGATTATACTTGCATCGACCGATTTGCTCCCTCGTTTAGTAACAACTCATTCGTGCCAGCGGAAAACTCTAAAATTAATAAATACACTTCTATAACCAATTGCAATCTCATACCAATCGTATCCGACACAACCGGTTTTTTTGGCAATCATGCCCTAACCTTCTTCAAATCCATTAGTAAAAAAATTCGCGCCATCACTGGTGACCTACAGGAAGGCTTCTATCTTAGACAGCGCGTATCTATTGATATATGCAGATCTAACTGCATTGTCATCCACGGCTCCCTTTTTTGACCTTCTCCCACCCACATTCAATTTATTATACTAATTTTATTTTATACAGTTTTTTTATAGATTTTATTTTACAAATAGTTTACATTATATATTAATACATATTTTTAAATTACGTAAATATGTTTTACTTTTAACGTTCAATTTGACTAATAAAAATATATTTCATCTCAAAAAAAAAAAATTAAAAAATATATCTATATTAAAAATAACAATAAAATATTTACAAATTAACATCAATACTAACTATTATACGATTTTAACAATTGAAGATTTCCAAATTTATAAAGGGGACATACTAAATAGGCGTTCAACTGGTTGGAAGTGTTGTATTTTAAGAAATTTTTGTTTATATTAGAAGGATTATTTAAAAAAGGTAAATCTTTACTCTTTCATTTAAAAAAAATTATCAAAGATTTTGTTTTATATTTAGCTTATTTTTATCAAATAATGTTTAATTTAATACTTATTTAAGATAAAATATAAAATAAACTCGGAAAGAAATTAATTAAATCAGATATATTTGTTATTTTAAAAAAATTGTTATAATCTATATGAAAAATTTTTGCATTAAAAAAAATATCAACTAAGATAAAAAGTATACAAAAAAATTAACATTAAAAAAAAGAATGGAAACAATATCGAGAATTTTTTTAACAAGTCCCAGAAGGTAGCAGATACAAAAAATGTATCGAACCAAGACAATAAGTATCGTCAATACAATTCGAGAATCGAAAACAATCTTGTGATTTCTTTTTAACAAGCCCGAGAAGGTAGTAAATGAAGATACCAAAAAGATTCGATATAAATATTAATTGTATTTTTTTTCCCCATTCATACAAAAAAAAACCCATATTGGGGAAAAAAAATTTTTTGTCCGACTAATTTCTTTTTTAAAAATCCAAGATTACCATATCTATCCAATCGATTAAAATCATTCCAAGAATCGTGTTCAAAGTTTTGGAAATTCGAGCATTGAGAAACCAAGAAATTTGAATCGGTACCCGTTACGCATTGCCACGAGTTGTCCTTGAAACAGGGCACCTGGTTTAATGATCTATTTATAAAGTCGACGATATTTTAAATACGCTATTTAAGTTAGTTAAGCAATGAAAATAAGAAAAACCAATTGGCTATCCTCCACATCTCCTTTCATTGCTTAGTTCCTGGCAGGCCTGACCCGACATCTCCCCCTCCCCGAGGTCCGAATTAGATATGGTCTTGGGTGAGAGCCTTTTTGAAAATTAATTTGGTTCTTTTTTTCGGGCCGAGCCTAATGATATTTAAACCTGGTGCAGATTTCTAGTTCCTGGGTCCTTTCCCTCCTATAATTAAAGGCTATGGGTCAAAATACAGAATTCTTTGATTAACCAAGAGCAAAACAAGAGTGAAATTTTTGCCATGAGCCCCAATCATACATATATAGTATATAATGCCAACTAGATATATTATTTACTCCTTAAAATGCATTTAAAAGTTTATATACACGGAAGTAAGCTGTGGACACCATTTTATGTTGTGCACTTTGTCTAGAATATCGTGCTAAACACATATTATTATTTAATTTTTTTAGGCCCTCAAGGACCTGGGTTTTGTAAATCTTTTAAAAAGATTTGTCGACTCAGAGGCCACATATGGAAAATTGGATGTAGAAAAAATTATTCAATGTCCCACAAGAGTTAGCAGGCACGTAGCCAAAGTTACTGAGGATCTTAAATGAAATATTATTTATTATAATTGGAGATATGATAAAAAAAATTGGTGCCGCTAACATATATATATATTCAACAACAACAAAATAGTTCACTTAAGACAGCCATCGAAGATGCCCTCGATATCGGTTATGGCTATCAATCCCGCCGAATCCAATAAAGAACCGGAATCAAAGCCGGCCGATCTCCAAGGGAAGTAACGCGTTATGGGCATGGCCGAGCGAGGCGAGGTCCAGTCCTGGGACAAATATGAATTTGAGGGAGAAGAAATTGCGCGGACGTTATTAGGGTTATTCGAGGTTGGTAGCTGAGTGTCTAGACGCGTTAGTTGGTCTCTTACCTTAACGAATTTCAATGATTTACTAATAAATTAGGATTTGTTCATGTAGTAAGTCTAAAACGAAGAAACTTGGCCCCCCGGGTTTATGATTATAAAAGTATAGAGTAATTTCATATGGATGAAGAAGAGAATGAAAAGGCGAGGTTTACCGAGTTCCACGTGATATCATTCCCAAGCCTCAAATCGTATAGCGTATTATCAATGGCCGAAAGACCGATGAATGAACCAGGTTGCCCCTGGCAGACCACTTCCACTGTGTAACCATTCAGGTCCTTCTTGGTGTTAAGAATTAGAGTAAACTTTTTTTTAAAAAAATAAAATAAAATAACGTTTTATAGTTTATGAATATTCAATATTATTAATATATCGTCGTGGCTTTGTTTTTTAATAAATAAAACAATGAAGGTCTGATTGTCCAGGGAAAAGAGGGGAACGGGTGGGCTACTAAAAACTAAACATGTTTTCGATCTGTGTGAGATGCGAATATATCGGTTTTTAAAATCCGATATCCGTTACGGTCACTAAAATTAAATGTGTAAACGTGTTGTTCGTTGATCGTGTAGTTTATGTCATTTTTTGATGATTTAATATATACAACGAGCATGACGCGAACCATGGAAAATTTGTCCAAATATTGCACTGTTCTAACTCCACTTTAATTTTACAAAAAGAGAACTACCTTAATTCACGTATAAAATGGGTATGCGCAATAAGCCACCAATATATTACGGATATTAACGAATGCCACGTATGTTCATTTCCGCCATTTTATTTCTCCCTTCCGTTCTGGCATTCCGTTTAAATATTTTTCCCCCAATAATATTTCTTCATTATATATAAGTGAATCTACTTACGTTATTCCTACTCGTGGCATCGACATAGAAATTAACGGCGTCAGCCGAAATTCGCCCACTCTTGGCAGAGATAGCGTAAACCAGGAGTTTAGAACTCGGGGCCATTTCCGGTTCTAAAGCCACGCTGAAAGTAACCTTGTGACCGGTTGTTCCGGTCAGCTTATTCGAGAAAACTATGGCACCTTTCGAGATTATCTTTTTAATTTATTTTAAAATAATATTTATCCATCGTTTGTAATAAATTAATTTCTTCCCTTTTTTCGCTAAATTTGGGGAGATTTTTAAGAAGTAAGCCTTTAGCAAAAAAAAATATAATAATTTTAAATTAACTTACATGACTATATAATATATTTGGTAATTTTAATCAATTTTATTCCTTAAAAAAATATTTAATTACTTATTTTATTTATTATTTATAAATATTTGACATTTTATAAATATTTTCTTACCACAAAAAAAAATGGAATAGATTAAATATTTTTTAAAAAAAATATATATAACGTGGTAATAAATTTCGCAATCGTCCATTCGAAAATTCGCCGAGACCCCGAAAATCGCGTATCCGCCTACTGTCACCACCGAATCCGCTGATTCGATGTTCAAACGTAGGACCGGTAATTCTTGTGACGAAGAATCATCTTGTTTTAATTGACCTGCATTTAATTGTCCGGAAGAGGAAAGAATGTCACGTGAGGAAAATGGTAAGGCCTTGATGTTCAAGATCTATGGGAAGAAGCATGTAGATAATTTTTTTTAAATGTGGATATTTTTAAAAAAACGATTGTTCTATCTACTTTATCATGAGTTTTATAATTAATTTTTCTACCTCTATATTACTACTCTACATGAATCAACTTTACAATATATTTTTTAAAAGATATTAAGCTTTTTTTAAAAAAAAGGGGGGGGGGGAATAACTTCTTCTTTCCCCTTTCCAATTTCATTTTGAGCAGCGAGTCTTAATCGAACGGAAACGGAAATCGGATGATTAGCGTCAGCGGCCCGCGTAGGAATATTAATAACGATCACGTGGTCTGCTAAATCGGGCATCGTTTTTAAGTCATCGTCTACCGGTGAAGCGTTATTGTTGTAATCGGCTGTCGCTGTCGCGAAGTCGTCCATGCTGTGTGTGTGGATAGGTTGCAGATCTGTAAGAATATGTTGTAAATTAAAATACAATTTCCTAACCCTGCTTCCTTCCGATACAAAATAAAATAAACGAAAATATTTTCATGTTAACCTTGATATCCCTTAATGACGTGAGTTATTCTGTCGGTGAAGGGTCTAGATCCACCAAATGTTTCTACGCCCAACTGAACGCTAGTCCTTTTTCTTATAGGGGATCCGTCCCTTTCAGATAAGGCAATCTTTCCCGCGCAATAAATAAAGAGTAGATAAATATAACTGCTTCGTAAATTCGGAAGACCCCCCCCCCCCCCCCCAAATCCTCCCATCGTGAAAATTTCAGGTTATGTTTTGAACATAATTTTTTTTTATTTAAAGTTATGGACATATTTCTACAAGGGACCTTCAATTTAATAAGTTATCACGTGATATGGAACCACGTGGGAATTTGGAATCTCTCAAAATTTAAATAATTTTTAGTGAAGAAAAGGAGATTTTTTCCAAGTTGGAAAAAAAAATATGATTTAATGGGGAGTACGGCATGTTTAGAGTGTATTAACTCTGTATGTATAGTAATCAATATTTTGCCGTAAATTTTTGAATATAAATGAGTAATTGGTAAAAATCGATTCCGTCGGTTCATTCTAAAGGCGCGCGCCGAAAAAATCCGCCATGGCAATGAGGCGCGAGAAAATTTATTAAGCTTACTTAAAATTTGAGCTATAATTTTAAAAAGGAGGCGAGGCTGAGATGATAGTTCCATGTTAAAAAAAAAACTAGGTTTCTCCATTTGTTTTAACCAGCTAAAATAAATCGCCTAAAAAAGTAAAGCTATCGCGATCAAACTATAGACCTACTTTTTAATTTATCATTTTTATTACATCATATATTTATCCGAGCCGTATTTCGGGTCGGGCCCGAAAATATGTAACCCCTGCCGGGTCGAGCCAAAATTTTTTTGCAAATGGTATCTCTGCAGGTCTCTGATATATATATTATTTATTTATTGTTGAATACAGATAAATTCGCGGTAAAATTTGGAATTCATAGTGCGTGGGTAAGAGGTCTGCAATGAATGATCCAGGTCTGGAAAAGAAAAATTATTAGGCTGGATTTACGATGAATTCCGATATTTGATTGAAGTGATAATCCATAAATTGTTAGTGTCTTTAAATTTAACCACTCCTTGATATCATGAAAAGTTGTTTATTTTGGTGTCCAAACTAGATATATCTGGTTAGGTCTTGTATTTGAAAAAAATCGGACTAAATTGGGCAATCTTAGTTTAAAAAAAAATTATCGGGCAAAAGGTAAAATTCCAACCGGGTCGGACCTAAAAAATTTTGCCATTAGCGGACTTCTGGTGTTGGGTTTACTTCATAAATGCCGGAATACGTTTCCAGTCAAATCACATATTTTTTTTAATATTAAATGATCCAAATTGAGAAATTCCAAATACCTAAACCTGACAATATTAGAGACGAAGAAAAGTAATCAGTTTGATTTAGTAATTCCATCTTCTTACATTTGAAGTTCTAAGCCACGAATTATTTATTTTTAATTTTACTTAGGAAAAAAAAATAATTTTAATCACTGTATAAAATTGAGGTTTCATTTTTTTTTAAAATATTTAAGCGAACATTTTAAACGGAAATGTAAGGGGGGGGGGACTGGAAAATAAATATATTTATACAAATCTCGCTGTCCAACATGATGAATTCCTCTTCTGGGAATCAGAGTGAACAGCACACTAGGTATTTCTATAGAAAAAAATAAAATAATACTAATTAGAGTTTAATCAAGCCGCCTAGGAGATATCAAAGATATTATATGAAAAAAAAGGAAATATAATATAAGCAACGCCACGCCATAAATAGATAATATTATAAAACTCACGTAAAAACTGAAATTGAAGCCGGCCTTAAATATGAAGGGCTGCCGCCCCAAAACTCGAAATAGTTTAGGGTGCGAACCGTGAATCTTAGCCCGGCCGAAACCGCTGAAGGTTTTGTTAAGCCTGGGATCGTTAACGGAAGCGTTTACTATCAACTCATGGCCGGCCAACGCGTGAGCGATTTCCGAGGAGGAACCCGAGTATGTTGAGCGCGAGTTCGAGAAAAGTAATTTGGAGAGATCTTCGAGGTAGATAGGAAAATCGTGACGCCCGTTAAACTTAAAAAAAAATGAAAATATTTATATTTATATTTTTGTTAGTTCCGGTTTCCTAAAAAAAATCAGAGTGGCGTCGAATGTCACTTTTTTGGTCGAATGTCATTACACTTGATTTTGGCTAATACCGATGTTGTTGCTAATACTCTTCTGACGATTCCAAGTACATCTAAACTCAGATTATTACACTCATATAATTATGCTGCGAATTAAGTGACTTATATAATCACTTAATTATGGCAAGCCTCTAAATACAATACGGCATAAATAGCCTATCTAATTTGAGCGTAAAACTAGAAGTTTGAGGTCAATTCTCTTTTAGGGACAAAAAAAACTAGACCTAACTATTATTTTTGGAAGTTGGGTGATTTATTTGAACAAAGTTAATTCCGCTATGCCTCAATATAATATAAATTTGAAATGAATGAATGAATAAACTTTTCCCAAATTAAAAAAAAAAAGAAAAAGAAAGAAGTAAATAATACTAATCCCACGTACCCCCGCGACGTTGATAACATGGGCCGGTGATTTGAAAGTGACGAGATCGGGATTTTTGAGATCTTTCTTGACCAAATAAGCTTCTATCACGGCCTTGCCGTAAACTCCGACATAGTAAGTGTAACTTTAAAGTCAAATTAACGAAAACAAGTATAATAAGATTTAGTTTAGTTATCGGCAGAATTTTTTGAAAATCTGAAATAAAAATGGCTCCATTTCCGGTTGCCTATAAAATTTTAAAAAAGTTTCAGAGTTTCCGGTTTTCTGATTCGAATGGTTCCTAAGGGTTTCTTTGGTTCCAAAATCTGGTTATGGCATTCATTAACTTATCTAGTAAATTCTCTTTCTCTAAATTTCCTGGGAGCGGCTTTATTTAAAAAAAAAATAATGAATTCCGTTAGCGGTTCCTATGAATTCTGAAATCGAGTTTTAGTTATGGTTTTCTAAGCATCCGATTCTACTCCTTAAGCTCACATTATTTTTGCGATAACGTTATTATATTTAAAAAAGATTGGCATATCGTTGATAGGTGTCATACCGGAAAGGGATAGATTTAGGACCTCCTTTTCCCGCTTTGAAGTTTTAATTCAATCATTAAATCGTTATGGCATCACTACTTTACCCCTGCATTCACGGGTTAGCGCCAATTCGCGGGCGATGTATACAAAAAAATTATTTATGTTTATGGCATATTTTGTGTATCTCGCCCGCTAATTTGGGCTAACTGCGAATTCAGGTCCAGCCTACTCGGTCGGTTAAGCGTCATCTTAACCGAATTTTTGTATTTTTTTTTAGATTAGATATTAAAAATATAAAAAAAATGAAGCAAGGTGAATCTGAATATTATTTGTACTTGTTTCTTATTACCGTATAAGACATCTTAAAGTGACATTTTTAAGAAACATAATGCGAAACTTTGCCATTTTCAAAATTGCGTTTAAAATAAAATTATTTATTTCCTCAGCATTACCATCCGAAATACGCATATTGGGTTAAGATTAAGTTCATATATGTTTTTTTCTAAAAAATTATGATGCTATTTAGCCGGAATCTAACTCGAATAATTAAACCGCTAAAACTGATATTTTTATCGAACCTAAACCGTTAAAATAATTTCTAGCCGAACCTGGACCTAATCCCTAAAATGCCTCTGAACCGGTTTGAGCCTCATGATTTTATGCTTATAAAATAATCTGTAATTAACTAGTGTATTGCAAAATTTTTATTTATATTCGAATTGTTTTAAAGATCATTATCAATCACATTTGATTATTTGATTGATAAGTGTCAGTCATAATTTTTTAAACGTTAGTATCAGTGGCGTCACTATGAGGGAGGGGGGGGAATTTGAATAGCCCCCTGAAGTAAAAGAAATATTTTTTTTAATGGCTCCTTACTATCCCCTTGAACTAAAAATAAATTTTTTAATTGCACCCTGAACGACTTCTTTTATAATTCTATTGAGTAATATATAGATTCGATTTTATAATTTAAAAATTAATAAGATTTATCGAAATTTTTATTAAATGATTACTATTTTAATTATTAGATTAGATTAATACATATAAATTATATTCTTGTACTGAGTTTTTGTCCCATCGTCATTTGCAATAGTGTATATTTATGATGTTTTGATATCATAATAATTTAATACTTTTATTAAAAGGAGTTTAAAATTTTCTGGAGTGGGCCGTTCAAATATTTCTATCATTTCTAGTGTTCTCAGAACAATTTTTGCCTTTTGAATATGCTGAAGATTAAACCCAATAATGGACCTGTCTAGACGAGTAACACAGTTAATTTTTAGAAATAATAACTTACCATTTATTTATATGATTATATTTTGCCTAATTCTTAAGACTAATTCTGCAAAATTAGATTGAATATTTTGAGAATTAATTTTAATATCACCCAAGCTTTCTAATATAGGATCAAACATTTTTTTTAAAACCGCTATCATCGATTAATTTGAATTATCTGCCAATAAAAGTGACCAACTCAGTACAAGCATCGATTATTATTATTTTTATTTTATTCTACTGATATTGTTTGTTCTTTTAATGCTTGTTTTATCGTCTGTTGGTTTAACGACATCTTAAACTTTTTTATTTAATTAGGCTTTTGTTGTAATATTTTTTTTATTTTATCAAATTCTAGAGGGCAGTTTCTTTTTTATGTAACGCTCAAGAACTGCTCTGTGATGGCCTTTCATATTTATTTGACAATCAGTAATAATACTTTTTGATGTGTCATTTATAATACTACTACATGTAAATAATTTATATATTGGATTTAATTTTTATATAGGCATTGTAGTTTATAAGCTTAAAATATTTTTAAAAAAATGTTGCAAAATGATAATATACTAAAGTTTATAAAAATTATGACTGACAATTATCAATCAAACGTGATTGATAATAATATAAGCATAAAATCATGATGCTCGCCCGAGGCATTTTTGCAGTTTGGTTCAGGTTAGGCTAGAATTTTTTTTAGTAGTTTAGGTTCGGTTTAGGTCAGATAAAAATACCGGTTTACGGTAGTTTAATGGTTCAGTTCAGGTTCGGTTCGGATTCCTGCTATTTTACTAATCAAGTGTGCTGTAAAATAGATTTCAAAAATATTCAAATAGAAATTCAATTATTTTTTTTACGAATAAGAATAATGATTATTGTTCCCTATTCGAATAACCCGATTTGTATACACCAATCTAAACACTGCATTCACAGTTAGCGTGAATTCGTGGCGAAGTATATAAAAATACAGAAAAATGCAGCATATTTTGTATACTTCGCAGTGAATTAGTGCTTCGTGGTGGAGAATTCACAAATTATAGCGTATTTTGTATAATTCACCGCGATCCCGTGTTAACTATGAATGAGAGGCAACTGTAATGAAAGTGAAACAATAGTTGATTTAAGTGTTATTAAATCACTAACTTTATCCAGCACCAAAATGGTTAACTGAATAAAAAAATCAGTTTCTTTAAGGGGGTTAAATCAATATTTTTTAGACGAAAAGTTAGACCTAAGCCGTAAGATAGCAAACTAAACACTAATCGATACAATATAAGTTGATGAATAAATGCCAATGGTGTATTAAATTTACTTGGCTTCGACCCTCACGTCGATATGCTTTACGTTGTCCATGAAGAAGTGCGGCATGGTTAAGTTCACCTCAAAATTGCTTTCGACTTTTGATATATATATACATATAACATAATAATATATTATAAGAGTTATTGAACTGATTATTAATGTACTCTAAATCACGTTCTTATTATTTTTTTTTAAAAAAGGAGTCGAATTCTAATTTGAAATGAAGTTTGAAAAGTTATGCGAAATTCAAGGTATAAATTAAGTTCCATTTTTCTTTTTAATGATCCAAAAAAAAAGTTATTTGAGGAAAAAAATATATATATTATAAACATTTTTGATATAATAAATTGTGAATTTTCTCAAAGTATAATAAAATAAATGTTTTTTTTTAATAAAAAAAAACTCGTAAAATAAATAATAGAAAAACAAACCCCTATAAACATGGAATCAAAATATACCAAAAAATTGTAGTAAGATAGATTTATTCAAAAAAGTAAATCAGATTTGAACTCGAGAGGGGGAGGGGAGAAAGGAGTAACTCACCTCTTCCCCCCCTTTTCTCCCATACATTAATTTTATAGTCATATAGACCACCTTTCTAAATTATATCTTATTCTCCCATTTTTCCTTCCCTTTATCATGCCCTCGACCTCGTGAAACTGGTCGCCTTAACAAAACTACGAGTATAATAATTATGTAATACGTATTTATTATTTTATTTTATTTTTAAACTGTTCAAACATTCACTTACAATATTCTTCCACTTTGAATCGGGTAAATTCGGATTGCCCCTTTTATCGAGTATAAAAATGATAAATCTTTACTAATTTATGAAGACTATGGTAATCAGTTAACTTGTCCATATTACTTCCTTCCTTCTTCCTCCTTCCTTCCTTCCTTCCTTCCTTCCTTCCTTCCTTCCTTCCTTCCTTCCTTCCTTCCTTCCTTCCTTCCTTCCTTCCTTCCTTCCTTCCTTCCTTCCTTCCTTCCTTCCTTCCTTCCTTCCTTCCTTCCTTCCTTCCTTCCTAGTATAAAAAAATACGAATTATTTTAAACGACCTGATTTTTAAAAAATGACTAACCCAATATTTTAGCCACCAAAAAAATACTAAGCAAGCCTGGGGAATATTTTGCTCGTAGAAGGGCAGAAAATGTTTGGACATCTATTAACAAAATTTCGAGGCTCGGGTACTATATTTTTTTCTGGTCAAAATCTTAATTTTTAAAAATCGGCTAAAATGGAGCCGTTTAAGCAACACTAATATTTTTTGCCTGATTAAGTAATCCTTAACTTAGCAGATTAAGGATTATCTATCATCAATTACCAATAAAAATTTACTAAAAATTATTATAAAAAAATTATTCTCCAATAACCAGGGCGGTGACGTTGATGGTCCAATCACCAAACTCCGGCCTCCTTCCCAGTTGATATTCCAGACTCAGACTTCCCAAGTTGCTTTGTCTGTTTAGCCATCTTTTCAGTATATTCCCTTTTGGATCCTATTTTTTTTATACAAATATAAAATAAAATAAATATATTATAAAATATACAAAAGCTACGATAATAATGATTCTCGAATGATCGAATAATCAATATAGTGTTGTTAAACGGCTAACTCAATATTTTAGCCAGAATAATATTGCCTAAGCCTCGAGATTTCGCCAATAGATGTCAGAACCTTTGTTCCTTCTACAAGCAAAATCTTCAGGCTTGCCTAATATTATTCTGGATAAAATATAGAGTTAGCCTTTTTTAAAAAAAATCGACTCAGATCGAGCCATTTATAACAACACTAAATCAATATAATAAATATCACGTGTTTCGATTTTAATTTCAATCTTTACCAGCATGTAAACGTTCACGGTCTCCAGAAAGGGCGTGAAATCCGTTTTGACCAAGATTACTCGAAAGCGTACTAAAATTAAAATAATTTGGAAAAAAAAATATAAATAAATAATAATATGAATATCTCACTTGGGGAAAGGATATTGAATTTTTTTTAAAAAAAAAGAAAATGAAAAGCAAAATGTAATTTATCTTTATTTTTTCTAGCTGTGATCTGGTTCTTCGTATTTATTTTTGATATGTATTTCTTGCTAAAACAGCTTTTGAAACTAGGACATCCCCTATTTAAGTGTTTTGGTGGCATTTGTTTTTAACGTGTTTTTTTTGTTTTGTTTTTTTTCGTTTTTTTCAGGCTGTATAGTAAGAATGAAAACTATCTCGGGTTTACAGAGATAAGGTTTTCCAACGATCTTAATGTCCTACACTTTCCGATGCTAGATATAAGTAAATCGGCACTGAAGGGAAAGTAAGTAATGGATTTCGTTTTCGAAAATCTTAACGTGATATTACATTACTTATACCTTATACATTCGAATTCGCTTCGAATACTTCGAATCTAATATTTCAAAAAAACAAAACTGAATAAAACGAATTAATTGTTTTTTATTTTAAAAAAATTTTTTTATGAAATTAGTAGAGAGTATATTTTATTTTCACATTTTTCCACCATTTATTAACTTTTTATTAATGTATCCCACTTTTTTTTGAAATTTTTTTTTATTTTACAAAATATTATCCAAAAAATCGATATTTCGCATTCAAACTAATATAGGTATAAATTGGTTGATGAAGCAGTTCAAATTTATTATTCGACAGATGACTAATTAATAAATGTGTCTCAATAGTTGTGTAATTACTATTATTTTTAGCCGTTTAAGCCAATTTTTAGCCGGTTAAAACCGAGTTTTTACCAGACAACTATCGCTTCGGTCTCGGGGGTTATTTCCTAAAAAAATAATAACTGCTCAAATATAAATTAAAAACACCTTAATTTTAACGGATTTTCTTTAGGAACGCGCCTGTAGATTTGAGTCTAATTAGCCGACATTTAAGTCATTACCCATCTACAAGTCACAACATACAGAACCAGAGTAGAACTAGAAAAGAATTCCAAAATCTAACATCTACGAGAATACAATACCCAATTTTATTGTTCCTATTTCCTCATCGTTATTTTTCAATTTTTTTTCACATATTGTTAAAATATTATACCCTTCTGGCCTTGTTTGTATAGCGGTCGGTCCAGCTGAATCATGACGGCCATAATCCTGGGGTCGTAGGTAAGCGTTTCCACGTGGTTGAAAAGGGTGCCAAGCTTTTGGGAGTTCCTAGTCGAATCGCCACTCACTTTGAGACGGTAAACGCCTGCCCCCCTTATATTAGAAGGCACCTGAAATAAGGTATTAATTATAGAGAATATTATTTAATTTTTGCCGATTTCAGATTACTTCGAAACGTAGAAAAAAAAAATTGAATGAAAGCTGCCATTATTTCGCATTTAATAATCTAATATCTCCCTTCAAATGATCAGTAAACAAAAGATACCCTTTTCCTTTCCCCAACCATTTTTTGGGTAAAGAAAGAAGAAAAAAGATAAGATGTTAAATAATATCTTATCAGGAATTAAAATATTGGGAATTATATATTTTTTGCAGTTTATTCCCCCCCCCCCTGCCAACTATTAAAGCTCATAATTTCCATGGAACTTGAGCTGAAATATCTCTCTTATAGGATGGATGAAATTTTTACAGGAATAGTTAAGGTTCCTGGGATGCCTCTTTGAAAGGTCTTAGATGCCGAACCGATTTCGTCCCCGTCCCGCTGAAGAGAAGCCCTCACGGTGGTGGAAGATTCAGTGAAATAAGACGAATAAAAATCGGACTTGTCTAAGTCGAGCAAATTGACGCTGATGTGGTAAGGCTTGTCCGGCTGAATTATTTTTGGCGCCAACAGTAGGTAAGTTCTGTTATATATATATATAATTTTTTTAAGGGGGAGCACAAATTAGGGAAAATGTTCATACATCGTAATAACCTTCAAAAAGTGAGCAGTTGAGAAGAGATTGACCACCTTTAAGAAGTGGCCTCCTTTATATAAGGCTCTTTTCCCGCCTTGAATTTAAAACCTTTTTTTTTTGAATCGATCTGCTCTGATTCGCCTAAATTTTTTTGAAAAGTGCCAGGATTGGTTATTAATAGTCAATTTTTGTTTGAAAGAAATCGTTTAAATAAACTTTTACATATTTTTTTTATTAAACTAGCCCAATCGGGAAACTTTTCAATGAAGCATGGGTGGAATGATTTTTTTAGCGACATTTCAAATCGTCATTTCAATGAAGTATACAAAATGTTAAAAGCAAAATATCTTGTTCACGTTCGCATAGTATAAATTAGCTACATTAATTTACCAATAAAATTTATAACTAAAAATACCGAACGCCTTAAAAGGGTTCATTTTTTTTTATTTTACAATTTTATTATGAATAAATATAATTTATTCGAAAAATGATTAAGCAAATGGAATTATGGGGAAGGGAGAAGAAGCAAAAAATAATTTTTTAACGAAATTTTAATCCGCAATATATTTTGCATATATTTAAACGGTCGTTATCTTTATAATATATTGCTTATTCGAACATATCGATTTTTGATAAAATAAAAACTTTTCGAGATATTTTGATTCTCGAAAATCATTAACTTATCTCTTCCATCCATCCTTCCTTCCTTCCTTCCTTCCTTCCTTCCTTCCTTCCTTCCTTCCTTCCTTCCTTCCTTCCTTCCTTCCTTCCTTCCTTCCTTCCTTCCTTCCTTTCTTTCTTTATATTTATCTGGCTTTCTTCCTTCCTTTCCTTCCTTTCGTTCTTTTTCTTTCTTTTTTCTTTTATTTTCTTTTTTATTTCTTTCTTCGCATCTTTAACGAGTTCAAAAGTGGTCGTTTTATTTATTCATAAAGTGTGCGACAATGATATTAGATACCTTAGAATCGGGATTGATAATCTTTATAGATATGTTATAAAATATTATATTTTTTTATGGTTATTAAAAGTTGGCGAGCCAGGTCAGACCAGACAAAATGATTTTCTGGCTGGGGGGAGGACAATTTGCTAGGTGGAAAAGATCATAAATTTATTTTTAAAGTTTTCTATATCATGCAAAGTTATAAAATTTTCTTTCATAAAAAAAAATAGTGTCTTGTTAAAAGTTTACTTTTGAAAAGTAACGAGTTACAATTTACAAGTTACGTCCTTAAAAAAAGTAACCGTTTAGAGCTACATTGAAAAAGTAATTCGTTATTTGATAAATTATTTTATATATATAAAAAAAAAACTTTAACTTGTCATTATTAATATAATCTTTTTTTTTATTAATACAAAGTTAATTTGCTATTTAAAAATTGTATTTAAATGAAATATAAATTTATATCAGAGACCCACAGGATCGGCCCTAGGCCCGACCCATAAAAAAATTCTAAATCCCAGAAAGGGTTTAACCCAACCCCGTGCTGGACCGAATATTTTAAATCGCGATTATTATATATATAGACATGTGCGCTGGGGCCATGCTGAAAACCCGGCGATTATGAACACATCGACCATGTGCCGCCGATATTATGTTTTTAAAATAATTTCCATATTTTATGCCTTTTTTTATTCTAATAATTGGTCAACATCAAATGTTGTAAATTTTTTTTAATGTCAATCAGGATTTTGATGAATTCTTATTTTTGTACCTATTTTTACTATCATAATTATTTTGAAATTATTTTAAAAATTCAATCAATTAAAAATCTAAAATTCCAAAAGTTACCATAATTTTATATATTTCCAATGTTAGAAAGGGTGTTTGAATTAGGTTGAATATGAACATCACGTATGCTTGAGTCATGGTTTACATGATATGGTTATAGTGGATGGTATTAAATGCCTTTTGTTGAAGATTCCATCAAAAGAATTAGAGAAATTATTACTGTTCTAAGATATAAACCTTGCAGAGATTGAATTTAAGTTCGAGGCAGATCAACGAAAATGTCCAAGTACAATAGATCTAACATCAGATATGCTATATTAATAGCACTGATCTATATCCTGATACCCACTTTCAAATTGGCGATTACAATTATGATAGTAGCAATAATGCCACACACATGAAAACGTTAAAATTAAATGTCCCAACGTGGCAAAGTGTATTAATTATACTTGAAAGCACATCTGAAGCAAAACAATAATATTTTATTAAATACGTTTTGAAAAGAATTGAGAAACGCTTCTCAAACTATGAATCAGATCTAGTAGAAGAACCATTAAAAACAGTTTAATTTATACTAGCACAAAAAGGTTTCGTTGGTGCACAAGTCTATATATAAATATATATATAATAAAATATATTTAAAAATATTAATTGAATAATTTATCACAATTATTCACTTTTCATATTTCCTACATAATTTCAAAACCATTTTATTGAAAAAATTTTATATTCCTGAATTGGGTTGGGCCGAAAATGTTTCTTTTTAAAAAATATGAGCTGGATCAGGTTGAAAATTAAAATAATTTGGGCCAGGAATTTTTTTAGAAATCCGGGCCAGGTAATTGATGCTAGAGATCTACAAATCACGGCCCAACCCGTATCCGGTTTGAATCTATTTTTAAGAAATAATTCCGGTTCGGGCTGGGTCGTGCCAAACATTTTTTTAAAAATTCTGGGTTAGGTTGGTTGGGTTTAAATTTTTAAATATAATATCATTACATTTTGTCAAATAAATTGCTATATTTTAAAATTCTTGCAAGATACAGATGCTAATATTTTTTACAATAAAAAAATAATAAAATTTTTATATATTTTAAAAAATAAATTAGGGTGGGCTGGGGGGAAAATAATTTTAATTTTTATATCAGATCGAGTTTTTTGGGATATATTAAAAAAAATTTGGTTTGGGGTAGGGTCAGGTTCTCAAATTATCCAAAAAAAATTCAGACCGGGCATGGGAAATTAGATTCAATGCAGATCATTAATCGATACTTCTGCAAGTCTCTGAAATAACTGCACTATAAAAAATATACCTATTACTTTAACAAAAGTGTTGTTAAGTGACTCGATTTGAGCCAATATTTTAGCCAGAAAAATATTGCCTAAACCTAAAGATTTTGTTAATAGATGTCCAAACCTTTGTGCCTTCTAAGGCCAAAATTTTTAGGCTTGCGTATATGTCTACTCTGCTATTTAATTAATCTAATTTTTCATATATTTAATAATTATTTGATAGACTAAATATGTGCATAAGATGTAAGAAAGATATGTTATGTGTTTCTATTTATGTGAATTAATTCTTATTATCATGCATTATTATTGCAGAATAAACAAAATATAGACATATGTATCAAGTTAAAATATGTAATTAAAAAAATTAAATAGTTTTAAAAATATGCAATGGTTTCAGAGGGATGGTAAAATGACTACTAGGGACACCCTAAGTTACAATAGATAACCTTTAAAAAAATTTGAAATCTATGTTAATAAGATATGTAGAGGAGTATAGCTCTATATTTTATTTTTGAATATATTAGTCTCTATAGGAATAAGCCATAATCACAAATAATTTTAAAAAATATTGTAATTGATAATATTTAGTTTTTTTTTTATAAATAATTTTTATGGAACCTTTTGAATTGAAAAATTGAGATCTTAATCATGAAACTGCTTTGCTTAAATGACTTCAACCAACTTAAAATTATACATTTTATTATTACCAAAAGACAATAGCACCTTGGTAGGGTGTAGAATCCAAAGCTTAAAAATAATTATCCTTACAGTTACCATGTCAAATGAAATAGATATATGTTTTGGTGACCCAAACATAAATAAATTACAAAATTTTCTCAATGATTACTTATTATAATGGCAAAAAATAAACTTCGAGTTCTTATTATGGTAGTAAATAAATGTTATTACGGTTTTTTTTTAATATGATTGAGTTCTCTGAGTGCTTCTTGGTTTAAAGAGTTATGAGTGTCATGTTCAAGCCTTATCACATTGTCCAGATAAGGTTTATCCAGAATTTGGGATATTGTCACATGAAAAAGCAGAAATATTTTTATCGCAGATATTATATTAGACATAATTTAGAAACTAGAATTTAAAAATTATAGATTAAGAAAAAAATTTTAAATCTACCTTTTCAGGTAAAAAATATGAAAGCAATTCTCATGTGTCTCATTCGTAGAATAGTTTGATTACTGCTAGACATTGCCCGGTTAATAATTAGCTAAACTTTATAAATATTTTTTGGTAAAAATGTCAGTTAAAATATAAATATATATATAATACAAGTGCATGTCTAAATTTGGATAAAACTTAAAAGACATTTTCTGAAATAAATTTGATATAGGACTATGTTTTATTTAGAAGACCCTCAGTTGAAGAAACGCATTTTGTGGCAAATATTATGCTCCTTATATTCTTTAAAAAAATATAACCATATATCCTATCTTGTCGTTCTAGAGATAAACTAACCCTTAAAAAGTGTTTAAAATGCTTTAGGATATCATCAGCCGATTAAAAAAAATTATTTTCTTAAATAAACTCCAGTGAAATCAAGATCGTGATTTTTTTAAATATAATCAGTGACATAACAACTGGGTAAGGTATGACGTAAAATCGTAATATAAATGAATTATAAGTGGAAAGGTGTGTGGGGGGGGGGGGTCAAAAATATGGTTTTGTTTATTTTTTTTAATTCCTATTTTTGCTAGTTTGAATTTGAAATTTCCTTTTTTGCTAATTACAATTTGTCTTTATTTTTTATTCATATATTTATTTATGAAAAAATATTTTAAGGGTATAACGGGGGATCAGTATAAGGGGTATGGTTAATAGTGGGGGAAGGGGTTAAAAGTTCCTAAGTGGTTTTCATGTCAATTCAGCTAACCTTTTATCGCGAAGCACTTACTAGAAACTTTTACCACGAATATCGTTTACCGCAAATGAATTAACTTTTATTACTAATCCACATTATGGAATACTATTCCGCGAAGACAATATCGCGGGACAAATATCGCGAAAATATTTATAGCAAAAATTCTCAATAATGACTATTTTATTTTAAAATATTTATTGTAATGATATTATCATAATAATTAAATTATATTTTTAAAAAAATAGGTACAAAATTAATTCAATAATAGAGGTTTTAATTTTCTTATAACCTTAATAAATTTATATAATTATTAAAGAACTAATTAGTTTGTAACATTTATCATTGGAATAAAAGAAATTTGCTATCCTGTCCTATGCTTTAAGTTTTCATTTATAACAATTGCGCACAAGGAGCATAGGCTTTATTAATATATTAATCATTGAGTTCATTAGTTAAATCATTGATTCTTATTAGCGAAATTGATATCTGGGTTGTGCCTATTGTCTATTATTATATTTATAAATTCATCAATCAGTTTTTCTAGTCATTAACCAAAAACTGAAATATAAGCTATTAGATTTTCTTTATCAAATGACGATTCAAGAATAAATAAATGAATATAAGGGATTTTCCTAATTTAAAATTTCAACGTAGTCTTAAACATGAAGTTTGCCAAACTTTGGCAAATACTAATTCTGAAACTTAAGGCTATAATAATGCTTAACTACAATACATATAGATTAGTTGTACATCATATATTTTTTTTTCCCTTAATTACTCGGAATCAAAACTACCTAAATCGATCTTTTACTGAATTCCCAGAATATAATTTTGCTAAGTAAAAATTTAATTTTCTCAGAATTGGAAAATTTAATAAAATAATTTTAAGAAAATTTTAAAAAAATTACATAGCAAAATCTTTTTTGATTTTTGAAAATAATCTAAGATAAGCAAAAATATTAGTTTTGACTATTTTCTATGTTGACTGCAAAAATTTATAAGCATATCAGAATATTTACTAAAATTTACTTTTAATGGCATAAAGCACATTTAGAGGAAATGGGGTGGGGGTAAATTTATTGGGGTAAAAATTTAATTAACCACGAGTAAGAGAGACTATAAAGAAATTGGCTAATTTATTTTCTTTTCATTCTCACTTAATAGAAAATAAGTGAAAAATAAAAACAACGCATTTATGATTTAAAGAACTTTGATGGGTAAATTAAATTAATATTGAATATGTTGTTTTCCTTCAAATAAATGAATTCGCAATAATTATATTTTTGAAGTAATGCGCTTACGATAATGACTTCGCGCAATACATTCGCGGTAGAAAATTTGCTATAAAGGGTTCACATTTCGATAAAATGTTGCCGCGGTTAAGGTTTCGAGGAAATAAATTCACAATGATGGGTTCGCAATATTGTCTTTTCTATATATGTTTTCTGGGAAAAAAACGGAATTGGTTTCGCGATAAAAGTTTCGCTGAATTGACCTGATAAGTTTATATAAGATATAGTTATGATTTTAATTTTACAAAATGTATCTATACATTTATTTCAATTGATATTAGGCGCATTAGCCCTAAACGTCATATATTTAACAAAGTTATATATACAACAGAGCAACGCTTGGTTCTCCCATGAAAAACCAATTAAACTGGGATAAAAAATGGGAAATAATTAAGAGGATCATTCACGTTTTTGGGCAGGCCGCAGTTACCTGTGCGAGCAAGAGGCAAAACCAGTTGTTTAAACACCCATAGGAAATAAGAGGGGATAATAAATGCCCATGCATGATTAAATAAATAAAAAATTGATTATGAAAGAGTTATATTGGCTATGTTAATTTTACTTTTAATTCACTGCGAAAGCCTATAAATAAACATATGATTAAATAAAATAAAATACCAGTACAAATATAACACAATCACTTATCAATAATACTAGTTTTTTATATCCAACTTTGAAGATAATCTTCCATCATACCGCAGGAATAAGCTTGAAATATTTCAAAGTTAATTAATGAAAAACACACACACGTAAAGGAAAGATAGTTCTGACCGTTGTTTAATAAATTGATTATAAAGTATTAATGTTGTCTATATTTTTTTTATCATATTATAAAGACATTTTGATTTAAAGTGAATTTTTATTATTTTATTTTTGTATTTTCACCATATAATCTATTATCTTAATTTTAACTTTTAATTATTTTTTTCGTTAAATTTATTTTGATTGATTGAATCAAGTTAAAAAATTTTTAGTATTTAAAGAAAAAATAATTCAATATCATGATTATTAAATTTGATATGAAAAATAAATGTTATTTTGTGTATGTATAATATAATTCGATCCAAAAGCTATAAATTTTCATCATTAATTAATGGTGCAATATTCTCAACATCTATTTCATGTGGTCAAGTTATGTAATGTATACTCACTCCTTCGCGGATTCTGTTTGATTTATTATTTAAATTTAAGAAAAAAATGACAATAATATTGTAATATTTCCCTTCCCCCTCAATTTTTTTAAACATTTCTTTTCTTAGAAATGAGGTATACCTAGCATAGCTATGTTGTATCCACAACTAAGCGAAATCATCTAAACATAATTATAGAATTTTCAATGTACAAAAATATAATTTTTGTATCTGTCAATTTTATAATAGACATCATTGGCCAATAATATAAAATTTTCTTTACAAACAAAGAAAGGATATTCAAACACATGAGATATCATATGGCGATTATCTGTCAATTACAATTTCCATATACAACAATAATTAACTCAATATAATCCACTTTTTATCTCAGCTTGTATAACACATAACAATTTCATCTTTCCATTGAGAAGGCCAACTTGATTTTTTCTTGTGTAAAATTCTGCTTAAATTTTTTTCTAATTAAAAGTCAATGGTCGTGGCCTATTTTTATAAAATGGTAGATTTCATCTTTAATTTTACAAAATTATTGTTTGAATTATTTTTGGGCGTTTATAAAATGTGTTTAAAAATCAGATTTTGTTTGATAACCTTAATATATTTTATATTATAATACGATTAGGGGAAAAAATTTGTGAAAAAGAAAATAATGTGAATTTATCTAGCCAATTTTTTGAAAAAAAACAATTAACAATTAAGGGTCATATCATGAGTTATTTTTTTTCAAATTGTATTTATCCAAATTGTCTAAAAATTAATGATATTATATTTGATTATGTTTTTTATAGAAGCTTCTCAATATTTTCTTGAATAAAATTTAAAATTTTATTAAAAAACAAATGACTATAAGTTATAACGATTTCAAGATATATTTTTTAAAAAATACATATTATTACAATTTTTAGGTTAATGATAAAGAATAAGAATTATGGGATAATTATGTATGGATTTTCTCGTAAATTTGATTTGCCGTCTTTAAGTCCACTTAATATAAGCCTTTGGTTATGTTATATTTATAATAAGCAGATTGAGGTAACAATTGGAGAATAGATTCAAATAGAAAGAACTGAAAAATAATAATCTGCAAATATATAAAATATGAATAAATAATTTTACTATCACTTTATTACAAGATCCAACATAATTATAAAATAATAAGACATAAAAATTAAAAAGCAAAAATGATAAAATAAAAATTAAAAAAGAATTCTTTCCAAAAACTGAAAAGTATATAATATTCACAAAATCTCAAATATATATCTTTCTTTTAATCCTCATTTACATAGTCTATCATATTAAATAATATCGTAAATTCTTCTAATTTGAATTCATCTAAATATTACAACAATATTCTTTTTATAAAATAATTTTAGGTTTTCACTTTTTGTAAATATATAGGTTCCACATTAGCGGATTCACACAGCCTTCCTCCACTCTACTCTTGATATCCTCCTTAAGCTTGATTACCTTCTTGATTTGCTACCTTCTCATAAATCATTCTTTCTCTTAAAAAGCTTTTTTAACATTCTTCACATCCTTTATTCTCTGCCCTCAACGACTATTTTTAAATTTAGTATCCTTTTCAGCATTTATAAAAAGGGAATAGAAGATCTAATCGAAAATATCCTATATCTAAAATTTAATGAAACATCATGGGCTCAGGCTTCATTGCCCATCCATCAAAAGCGGTAGTTTGGGGATTAGATCTCCCATCGATCTTTCTCTCATTGCTTTTATTTTAAGTAGTCTACTTACTAGACCTACATTCATTTCCCACAACATAAAAATAAATTTTCCTTAGATGATGCTATCTAGTTATGGAGGATACGCGTTGTTGATGTCCCAACGCAATCCAACAGAGACAGGCCTGTTATAACATGCTGAGTTGAATTCCTATTATTTAGCATGCTGCCAACCAACCGTTCTCTCTTCACATTTTTACTTAAGGGATCCAGGCATTAATTTTTGGAATTCCAAAATTTTTAGCTCCAATTCATCAAGAATGAGCTAACCCATGCAAAAGGAATTTACCTAAATTGTAATAATAACGATCCTTTCATCACAACTGTTCTGGCTACAGAACCCGCATAGACAGCAAAGGAAGACACGCTATATATTGCAGATCGTGTAAAGGCCGAATCCTTAGGCATATCCAATGCAATTTCATAATCTAGCGAGCTTTGAAATCTGCACAAATACTTTCGTTTCATTATGTAAGTCATATTTAAATTTGATGATGATTCTAATAGGTATAATCAGAGTCAAGCGGGGACATGTTTTTAAAACATAATGGAAGATTATAATTATCTTGTGTTAATCTATCTAAAATACTATTACAGAGTAATCGATAATTTTTTTTAAATAACTCCACTTACCCTTGATCTTTTGTGAGGGATAGATTAAATTTTGATATTAGTTTCTCAGCCATAATTCTTACCAATTTAAAAGAATTATCACTTATTTTATTTTTATTATATCAATTGTGGAATCAATACAATGCTTAGCATCCGCTATATTACTGCTTTTTGGCTGTAGATACTTATTTAGTGGATCTATTGTTATTAATACCTCATTAATTAAAATGGTAAATATAAAATTAGATTAACACATTGAGATAAAAGACCAAAGACTTCGACTAATCATGAATGCTGAGTTAAAAGTTCTATCAGAAAAGTAAAATAATACTTTACCAATACCCTCAAAATTCTCATAAATACGAAATGTTTCTAGTTGACCAGTCCACTACTGGTCTAAAGGTCCATTAAGAGTATGACCTATATATTTACAGAATACGTATGCCAAAAAAAATAAACATTGCATTAGATAAATTAAAAAAATATTATGAATTATAACAATTATTACATCAATTTTCAACCACATGATGCAACTCTAGGTTGTAGAAATGTATATAGCAATTTTTTTATATTAATTTTATTTAAACCAGCATTAATTCTTCTCCATTTATGCCAGACATGACGTTTACACCATCATATGCCTGGCTAATTATATTCGATGAATTAATATTTAATTCATTAAGTTGATTTAAATTACAATTAGTAATGCTTTCAGCAGAAAAATATACAAATTGTTGATTCCTATTAAATTTACTTGAATTTCTCCACAAAAAAATATATAACGAATAATTATGCTCAGGTTTTCACAACTCATTTATTAAAAAAATTTTGTTGTATTTTCATTTTCATTTAGATTTAATTATTGATGATAAATTAAATATTAATAACTAATAATAAAAACAAATTTTATTTGGGGGGGGGAATGGGGCTTCCACCCTTCCCCCTTGACTACAACCCTGAAGTAATATTCTACAGACCTTTGATAATACTGAAGTATTATACTACCTTTTTTAAGATAACCCATCCATAAATTTGTCGACCAGCGTAGAGTTCCTCCAGGAGAATAGCTTCACATTCCAGATCTGTAACGAGAATCACAATTGCCACTTAAAAATGGATGATTTATTTAAAACATAAATTTAACATACAAAAAAATGAAGCCAAAAATTTTGTGGGATTTTTGTACTTATTTTATTGTCAGAAAATCTGTTGTAAGATTATTACCTTATTTTTGTATCTAAACATCTTATGTAAATCAATTGAAATATTAGGGGTATAAATAATATTCTTTAAAAAATTTAGATAGATAAATTTAAAGAAAAGATATCACAATTATCAAAATTTGAAATGACGTTTAAATAAACCAAAAAATAGATTAATTATAAAAAAAAATTATCCCTATGGTCTAATTTTTGTTTATTTATGATCTGAAAACCAATTTGATTATTTTCCTTAAAATTCTAATAATAATCTCTTATAATAAATCTTTTCTCTTAATTTAAAATAATGGCGATTTCTCAATACTTTCAAATTTATATTCATCCCTCAAAATCAATTCATTTATAATTTAAAATAACAACACTCTTTAAAATCAAATCAATCCCATTAAAAAAAAATGATTGGTATACTTTAGAAATTTAGTTATAAAAATATTATTGAATATATATGCAATTATAAAAGCCACTTGAATAGGGTAATGAGAATATCATAAAATTCCCTTTTTGTTTTATGACAATTTAAAACAATATTTTTACCAAAAACAAAAGAAATTATTATAAAGTTTATTATTTGTAGTGCAACTAATTTTCCGAAATCGTTACACAAATATAAAAATAACAAAAGATTTAAAATAATAAAATTAGATGCCTTCAATACACTTATAAAAAGTAATCATTTTAAAACAGTATATAAAGTCTCTGTCGAAAAGTTGATATCCACAATAATAATTTTATTTCTACCCTAAACAATTAAATTAATAAATTTATTTGCTTTTTAAAAATAATTTTTTATACCAAAACAAAAATGTTCAAAAATTACGTATTTCTATTGGCGATATTAGTAAGTATTTTATATACAATATGTAAAACAAGCTATTTTTTTATTAATTATAAGAGTTTTAAGAATTTTGTAGTAAAATAAAATTTAAACTGACTTATCTCAAATAATAAAATTCATGAGTCAAGGTAAATTTTTTTTACTATTAAATCTTCTAAAATAAGCCTGGAACCGTTTATGTTGCATTCTATTAATTTAATTTTTTTAATCTAGATTTTCTTTGGTCAATTTTAAACATTTAATTTAGTGCATTAAAAAGGTGGAATTAGATATATTTATAATCTTTCACACTAATGTTAATTGTTTAATATATAGTTATCAAAGTCAATATACATTACTTCGTGTAAAGTATAATATTCATTAATTTATTAGCGATAACAGACGATTATATCTTCTTTTATATTACATTGGCAAATAAAAAAATGTATTTTTTTAAATATAAAGCTTTCCCTAGTTAGTTGCTCAATTGCTTTCCCATTCCGAGGAGGATATGGCGGATTCCGTGGAGGCCACGGAGGATTCGGTGGAGGTTATGGAGGATTTCGCGGAGGATATGGTGGCGGATTTAGAGGGTATGGTGGCCACGGAGGATTCGGAGGTCATCGTTTTGGATAAATAGGGTCAAGACTTGACAAAGAATACTAACCACCTAACGATCCTCATTATATATATTATACATCGTTATACTAAACCAAAAAAAAATGTAAAATACCTTCATTCTTGTAATATTTTATTGTGATAATAAAATGAATGAATAATAAATAAAAAAAATTTGTGTTAAAATTTGATTTCTGTATTCAAAATCAACCTCTAATCGTTTGAACTCGTGATTCTATTTGATTTAATTTTCCGATTTTTCAACAAATTTTAAATTATTTTGTTTTCCCAATACCTTTTTATGAATATTATTTTTCAAAATCAACCATAAAATCCTTCAGTGTTTTTATCAGCTTTACTTTTAATAAAAAAAAAACCAGACTCGAAGATCTATAAAAAAAATTTTTTTAAAGATTCGATGATAAATTATTCTTCATATTTTAAAATATTGCAACAAATAATTTAGAGGGTACACAAGGGTATAATTATTTGGAAGGTAGGGGGTGGGAGGACTGTTTAGAATTGCCTCGGTTTCTAATGCCAGGTTTACCACACTTACTAGCTGCAGCAATTTTTAAATGTCAAAATCTCAGCTACTAAATTTTAAAGTTTCCTAAATATACCTCAAAATCTTCAACATTCTAAATTTTAAATAATCAAGTTTTTGAAAATTTTTATATACAAAATATATTTGATCAAGAAATTCAAATTCCCTCAATCTATGATATCCACTTTTACTTAAAATTGTTATATTTTTTCTTCTTAACCAATAAAAGAACGCAATTTTCCATAATTAGTGGCCATACCATATTAGCTAATTTGTATTAATTTTAAAATAATAACACGTAAAGAAAGGAAAAAAAAAGACAAATGCTTAATAGAATTAGTATTTATTTTTAAAAAAGCTTATTGATTAAAAATTATTTGTCACGATACCTTTAGTGCCATTTTAGATTTTCAGCTTTAATTGCACACTTATTTCATCCGTTATCTTAATACCATATTACTTAGGAAAATAGTAAGACAATTTTTAAACGTAGCTTTTTTATTATTAATTAACGAATAAAAAATTTAATTCCTCGGAAATGGGAAAAAATACGAACAAAAATTATTTATTTCCTTTTATAATTTTTATTTTGAATTTACAAAATATTTATTTACTAAAATTATTTTAAGCTATGATAAAAAAAACGAAGGGTTAAAGATAAATTATGTCAATATTTTCTCAACAAAAAGGTAACATTTTTTAACACACTTAAAAATTGAAAATTTAGGAAAATATTCCAATAAAACTACACTACTGAATAGGTAAATCTACAACTGTAGATTTACTCATAAATGCTTTTTCTCAAATAAATCTTTATATTAAAAAATTTGAAAATAATAAAATGGTAGGTAGTGGGAGTCATGTTTGATTAACCTAAAATTATAGAATAGAAATCGCTGCCATATTTTATAAATTTAATGTTTATTCTTCAAGAAAAAATATCACTCCTATAAATTTAGATCAAAATATAATTACTCAAAAACTTCTTGCCCGGTCTGACATACCCAAGTCATGGTTTATGTTTTAAAAACTACTTAACCAAAATTAATAAAAATTTAAGTCATATATTCTAACATAAATTTAAGGAAGCTACTTAAGATATGAGATCTTAATTTTAAAAAAAATACATACATTAATTTTTAGACGTTTTAGAAGTCATATAGACCCAATGAGAGCAATGCGAACTTTCTTTCAAATATTATATAAACCTTACTCCTCATCTAGCCTCCATTTAACCTTAACCTGGTTTAAGCGATTGGTTCCACAACCCAAATATGTAATCCACCCAGGCGCCTACGCCGGAATTTGGTCTGGGGGGGGGGGGATAATAAATTTTTTTAAGAAATAATATTTTTAATTAAAAATACTAAGCATAAATTTATTAGGATTAATAACTTTTCTAATACACAGTTTTAAACTAATGTGAATTAAAAAAATTATATATATAAACCGGCATTTAAATGTGAATCATAAAATATAAAGTGAATATGACCCACGATATGAATCACCTAAATGACCCAAAATTGAAATTTGAATTTTTTGAGCTTTTAAAATATATAAAGTATAAAAAATTTAAATGTTGTAAATATAAATTAATACACAAAAAGTTTCTTAGGAATAATTGTATTTTGTATGTTTTGAGCTAATTTTTCAATTATCAATCCTTGCTTGGCGTTAAATGTCTATGAATATTCAAAAGATCCAAATCATTCAATCTACTTTCAGATGTTGTATTTCATAGGTATGTTTTTCACAGACTTGCAGGCCCGGCCCCTGAGCCGGACTGTATTTTAATTTTTTTAAATATACCCGGGCCGGGCTCGTAATTTTTTTTTTAAAAACACCCGGGCTGGGCCTGAAAATTTTTTAAGAAAAAATATCCGAGCCGAGTTGTATATTTTAAAACCAAATATTTGAAATCGCCATTATTAGCTATAAATATCAAAAATAAATATAATTTATTTTAAAAAATTCGGGCTAAGCCAGCCGGGCCGGGCCTGAAAATTTTTTAAAAAAAAACCCGGGCCGGAAAAAATTTTAAAATAAAATCTGGGCCTGGTCCTGCAAATGGTACCTCTGCAAGGCTCTGTTATTCTACTTAAAAAATTGAATGTTCTCTCATTAGTTTACTAAAGAGCTGCTAATATATATATAACCATTTTAATAATTGGGAGTATAATCTAAAATGTGTTTGAAATAAAAAGCATCCATAGCATTTTTTGGGACTGTATCAACCATAGTTAATCTTTTAATCATAATTATTCAGCTAATAAGGCATCATAAGATATTTTAACATCTTCATGATAAAAATTTAACAAATATTTATATTTTTTTTCTATCACCATATGAAAAAGGTTGGGAGAGGGGACATTTGTTTTATAATACTCTTCTACTGATCCTATATTAATGTTTTGATGATGAGCTTGCTTGCTGCAAGTCGAGGGGGACAAATATTTAACACGTATAGCTCTGCTTTTGACTCAACAATAACATATAAAATATGAAATTCTTCAACAACACTAGCTCTATTTCCTTGAGTTCTAATAAAATGCTCTCCGCTATTCTCATCTTCTTAATCAAGTCAATGTTATGTTTTTAAAAGTATTACATAAAATAGTTGTATAATTAAATAATACATTCTAATGAGAAAAAAAATTTGGAATAAGTATTGAATTCAATAATTTTCTTGCTTCTGAGGAAATATTTCTTTCAAGCCATTGTGATATTTCAGTAATAGCATTAAAAATCAGCTCTTCTAACTCCAAAATAGCTGTTACTGTGGCGGAGACTCGATCTCGTTGGACAAGCTTGCAATTTTTTTCTCCCTGTTGGACAAGGAGTTTCAGAGATAATTATTATTTTATTAGAAATTTAGATAAATATTAAGCCACTAAAATTTGAAAATAATAGGTAAATTACGCCAAGGAAAACTTTAAATCGAAATTGATTGATAAAATAACTTAGTAGATGAATGTGATAAATAAATGTAATTAAATATATATATATATATATATGTATATATGAGATAAGAATAAATATTAACAAATATAAATTAATATTAACAATAATATTTTTGAAAAATATAATCCGGCATCTGCATTTTTTGGCTTTGGGGGGGGGGGGGATTTGTCCCCCTGTCCCCCCCGCTGCGTACGCGCCTGAATCCACCTGAAAAATTATAACTTTATTTAAAAAATGATATTTCTATTCCTAATAAATTTTTGCTAGATTATATTTAAAACTAAACATTATTCTATATTAATTATTGGTTGTAATGTATAACGCTCATAAAAAAAATTAGGTGGACAAATATAAACTAAAGATATCCCAAGTTACAATAGATCGTATAACCAAGGCAAGTTATTATAATTTGTAAAGACTGATTCTTCATGTTTCAATTCGATCATTTATGTCAAAACCCTTACTATTAATAAAATTCGGATAATTGTATAATATTAAACCAATGAGGAGCTTATAAAAGTGTTCATAATTTGTTCTTTCTTAAATTTAAATTAAAAAATAAGAACGATTTGATTTCTTGGTAATTTTTCGATCTATCCCTAACAGCGTACAAATATATAATATCTGTTGATCTTCAAAATCAAATCATTTTTAAAAATCATATCAATCCTATAAAGATTTGTAATATTATGATAACTATCACAATAATTTATCAACATCGTATACTGTATAAAATGTAATTACTGCAATTACTTTCCTTTAATGCCAATTGAAAAACAGTACACTTTAAAAAAAAACAAAAGAAGTTGTTAAAAGTTTTTTGATAAAATATCACGAAATCGTTTCAAAAACATAAAATGTAACATAGCAATATCATAATAGAGTTATATACCATATAACACCCTATATGAATTTAAATTTTTTAAAATAGTATATAAAGTCAGTCGAAAAGTTGATTATTACTTTACAATAATAATTTTATTAAATTCTATTTAAACATTGAATTTATTTATAAAAAGTAATTAATAAATCCTTCCTTAACAAAAAAAAAATGTTTAAAAATTACATATTTCTATTGGCGATATTGGTAAGTATTTTATTTACAGATTATATTTCTATAAAATAAATTAAGTTTAATGTTATTATTTAAAATTTAAGGAATCTAGTTGTAAAATAATTATATTTCAAAAAATGAATAAAAATCATGCTAGGTAATTTTGCGATTAAATCCTTTAATAAGTCGCAAATCGCTAGTATGATTTGAAATTAATAACCATTAAAACAATTAGGTTATGTGAAACTTTTATATCATTGATTTGCTTATTTTATTGTTTTTAAAAAAATGAATTAAGAATTTTTAACCATTGATTTCTATTTATGACTTGAATTTTGTTATATTGACCAATTTATTTTTTAAAAATTATTTTTTCTAATTTATTTAAAAATATAACTATTCACTAGATTCCTAAATTAAAATGTCATTTTTTAAAAATAATATTCGATTAAACTTTCCTATTACATTAGCATTATATATAATACATATTTTTTTTTTATAATATAAAAGCTTTCCCTTGTTAGTGCCTCCATAGCGTTTCCGTTTAGAGGAGGTTATGGTGGCTTCGGTGGAGGTTACGGAGGCTTCGGCGGAGGTTACGGAGGATTCGGTGGAGGTTACGGAGGGTTTCGCGGAGGATATGGTGGCGGATATAGAGGATACGGTGGCCATGGAGGATTCGGGGGCCATCGTTTTGGATAAAATCGCATCAAAATTTCAACAAAGAATATTAACATCTTACTAACTCATATATTACACATTTTATTACCAAACGAAAAATTGTCGTATATTTTACTAGTTTATTTGTCTTAGATATCATATAATGTGAAATAAAATTTTAATTTATTTGATAGCTTTTTATAAGATTATAGTATAACACCAAAAAAGTCAGATTAGACTCTAATTGAAACCTGTTCTGTCAGACTAGGGCAGACATTTTCTCCTATATGGAATTGCAAAAATATGCTAATTATTTTGTTTTCCTAAATATTTTTCTTAAAATATAAATTTTCAAAAAAATAACCAAATCTAAATAATTATATAATTAATAATTTTTTTAACTTAAAAACTTTTCCCTTTCATTTAAATAAATATTAATTACATAGTGCTCGATAAAAAAAAGAATCAGTATTTTTATAATGTAATTTCGGATCCAAAATTTTTTCTTGTTGGACTTTAAAAGATACCAAAATTTTTGATTCCTTAAGAATTAGAAATAATTTTTAAGCTCTTCGATATTTGAAAAACCCTTATAATATGTAAAATTCAAGCTTAAGCTCAAATTATAACTTATTGTTACAAGTAACATTTGAAAGAAATAATCGTTACATTATTTAAAAAGAAACTAATTGACAATTTTTTAATATTAGAAACAGTAAGCGGCCTTCTTCCAAATTTGTGGTGACGAATGGTGAGTTATAATTTTTTGATGCATTATTTCATTAGATATACTATTTGTATTTGATTCGAATTATTCGTTTTTTTACAGAATATTTTTATTGCACCTCAAATTAAAAAAAATAGTATCACAATAACGTAGTATCAAGTTATTAAAGTAATTTAAAAATATCTTAAAAATGTTTATAATATCAAATAAATTTTTATGGCATAGTGTTTATCTTATTCTTTTCGTTTTTTTTAAAATAAGGCATGCTTTTTTTTTTGGACAGTAAATTATTCCCAACATTTGTTTTTAGATACTATTTAAGATTTTGGTATACTATTATTTGATATATTTTTTTATATTAAATAATAATAATATTTGAATTCAAAATTCATTTTATTTCATATGAGCATACAATTTAAATAAATATATATATTTAAAAAAAAATCAAGTTCAATATAAGAAATAAAGTGGCGTCTGAAAAATATTTAACGAGATCCATCTGTTATTTCAAGTGAACTTTGGACTATTCATATAGTCACCTATTTTTCTTAAAGATTTATGGACAACCTAAACTCATACCCAATGACAGACGTGCAGTGTCTACATGAACGAGGGGGGGGGGGGGGTAGAAACAATTGGCATCCTATTTTTTTGAGGGGGGTAGGGAATAGGCGGCTTTAATAGGGTTAGGATAAAAATTTTGGGGATTATCTATTAAATTTTGAGATCAAATATGCTGTAAAAATTAATACTTTTATTATAGACCTATTATAATACAATTCATTAACCTAATCTATATTTTGCAAACAATCATAGACATATTTTCCAAATAAACCTTTCTGCTATCCTTTCAAATGTAATTTAAAAGGTTTAGACATTTTTCAACAAGCTCATAATGCTATAATAATGAATTCATTGTAAATGGTGGGGGTTTTGAATTTATTATCTAAAAAATAACTTCTTTATATTCATAAAATGTCGATAGTTAGTAGTAGTGATAAAATAATTTAAGCTATTCTTTTTAAATTCTGAAAGTGTATCTTTATAATTAAAAGGGTGAAATTAAAATTAAGGAAACATCGGCGCCGAAGGCGGCAAAATTTTTTTAAGGGGATAGTTATAGGTTTTTGAAGGGGGTTTTGCATCCAGTGAAAATCCTGTCATGTAGACGCTGCAGACGTGTATAAAGATAATATTATCACCAATGGCGAGATGATAATGATTTGCAGAATTTTGAGAGGATACCCGAGGAATTACATAAGGAGGGTACTAAAATAGACAAGCTAAAAATATCTACAAATTCTGTAAAAAATTTTGGTTTCAACATAGTCAAATCAGGAATTTATCCTATCAAAAAGAAAATTTTAACTATTCAAGAGATCCCCACACCTACGGATAAGAGATAAATTTGAGCATTCTTGGGATAACAAATTATCAGGAGCGTTTCCTACCAAATTTTTACTGAGTTGCTGCGCCGTTACATATACTCTCTAGTTCTGGATTAATATAGAAGAGGCAATTTTTGTGGAATTGAAAGAAAATGATGACGACAACAAAATCTTTGGTAAAATAATTTTGGAGTGTAAAGCCTCGAAAGGAGGATTTAGGGTGCTATTGCTGCATGAATTACGAAATGAGACTACAACACCAATGGCTTTTGCATCGAGAACATTATTTTCGACTGAGAGCTCTTTTGTTTGGAATGGAAAAGTTCCATAGATATTTATATGGAAGAAATATTATTTTAAGAACAGACACAAACCATTGGAGAAACTGTTAGGAAATTGTGAATTACCGATTATCAAGATGAACATTTAAATGGCTGATTATATATTTGAAATAATATATAAAAAATGGAAGTGAGAACGTGCTAGCAGATGCACTATCTATTCCCTTTATTTTTTTATTTTAATAAAATACTCTCAAAAAGTGTAAAAAATAAAATTTAATAAAAATCGGAACTAAAAACTAAAATGTCTAAAGTCTATGTTATATTTCATATCTTTTTAAAAGGTTATAATATTCAACGTTAGGTTAATAATATATTTGTTGTACAATAATATAGCGTATTTATTTAATATTATATAAAAAGTCAGTTAAATTGAAATTATAGAATAGTGTATATATATACACAAGAATTGAGAATATACCATTGACCATGTATCATGAGGTTTCTTCAGATTATAAGAACTTTATTCTTTTATTTCCCATATATGTATTTGTGAAAAATAACTAAACACAGCAATAATTTAAAATTGTTAATAATCTAAAATATTGTATATTAAATTAATAATAATATAAAACAATAATTAATTTTAACAATTAAAGATTTTAAGCAAAAAAAAATATTATAATAAATTGACAATTTGACACCAATAAAACGACAAACATAAGATCGACTACAAATGAAGATAAAGGAAACGAATAATGAAGCAAAGCAAGTTTAAGGTGATACTAATTCTTAACATGAACAAGGAGTGAAAGAGGAGACAAGATGCTAAATAAGATAAAAAAAAATTATATAGATAGAGCTTGGTCAGGAATTTATAATAATGTAGATTCAAATCAACAATCGTTTTATCCTTAGATAATGATATAATAGAATGGGGTGGTAGATTAATTATTTCAAATGTTTTACATAAAAAAATTTTTTAGAACACCTATATAGGAGTCAACCATAAATCGAAATCATGAAGTCGATACTACCATTTTATTGTTTGTGGCCGAATTGCGATAGTGATGTGGATGACTATATTAATCCTGGTCATGAATGTCAAACAACACTACCAGGAATGGTAGAGCAGTTATACTTTTGTGATATTCCAGGGAATCCATGAAAGCGGTTGCAAATCGATTTTGCAGGATTAGTTGATTCGTTTTTTAATTAGTAGGAGTGGATTCATATTTTAAATAGTTGGTAGATAAGTTGATATCCACAGACAAAAAATAAATTAGGGTCTTAAGAAGTGTTACAAGATTTGAAACGTGTAGACCACTGGTTTCAGATAATGGATAGCAATTGATTTCAATGGAGTTTGAAATTTTTGTAAACATGGAAATATTCAACTCATTAAAGTAAAACTATACCACCCTAAATCTACTAAAATATTTCTTTAATATATTATTTTTTAGAAAAAAATTAACTAAAGTTATAATATCCCACTAAAATAAATAATTTACCTTAATAATAATTACCTAAATATGTAATAAAAGAAAAAATGTTTACTATAACTACTGACCAGGGGATATATATATTAATTTATTTGGCCAAAATTATTGGAAGATAACTGATAGTGACATATTTTTCATTTATATTTATAAAGTATATATAAATAAAATTTTGTTATTACAAATGTTTTAAATATTTTTTTTAAAAAAATACTGGCACCTTCGAATAAAATATGGAAGAAATTATAATTAACAAGCCAAAATAATACCTTTCGAAAAAGAAGCAAATTTTTTTTATTTTTTTCAAAATGAGTTAAATATGTAAATCTTAAGATCACGTTTAAATAGTGACAGTGACCCCTACAACGGGGGGGGGGGGTCCGAAGCAACTGCTTCTATAAATTTCTATGGGAGTACTTATTTTATTTTTTTTAATTTTTAAAATTTTTTTAAAAAAAATTTTTTTATTTTATTTTTTTAAAAATTTTTATGGTCGATGTTTAGCAAATTAGTTTGTTATCCGATATTTCTTATCATAAAATTATTTTTCCACTTTCAAGATTTGGCGCAAAATTAAAATTTTATCAAAGGGAATAGTAAAAATTTAAATATTAAATCTTATATATAATCAGTTATAATTTTTAGATCATTGTCAAAATATGCCCAAAAATATTAACCAAAAAAAATATAAATGCTTATCTCGCAATCAAGCCTTCTGGGGGAACAGGCAACAAGATGGCAATATGATGAGCCTTATTAAACTTATTGCAGATTCTGAGCCTGTTCTTAAAATGTATATACAAGATAATGAAGAAAGAAGAAGTGAGAAAAAAATTAAGGGATTAAAATCTAAATTATCTTCAAATCTGTTATCATATAATAACATAAATATTCTTATTGAAACCATGAAAAATATGGTTATAAAAAAAATTAAAAAGGAGATTGAATTCAACAGGTGCTATTTAATTATAGTTGATGGCACATATGATGTATCGAAATCAGAAGCAATAGCTTTGATAGTGAGATATGTTGAAAATAGCGAGACACCTAAGCCCGTTGAAAGGCTGATAGACATTTATTGTACGGGAAATACAACGGGCCTCGATATTAAAAAGAATATAATATCCAAGCTTGGCTCCATGAATCT